CCCGACCGCGACTGTAAGGAGCTCAGTAGGCCGGAGCCGACCACACTCAGCTGCAACCCGCAGCCCTGCCCGGCAATGTAAGATAATCACACAGCCCTGCTCAGTCAGGTAATATGTATTACCCGCAGCCCTGTCCGGCCATGTAAGAGCATCATACCGCCGTGTTAAGCCAGCCAAGACTTCACAATGCTGCAGTGACATTCCGTCCTGACACGTTATGTCCAGCGATCGTTTGTTGTCTCATGAGTTTTCGTTAACAGAAAATGATGTTCGACAACGTATAATGCCATTCGAGCTTCTCTTGCCGCTGTTCTACCCCACGACTCCTCATGTGTGTGCCGTTCGTGTCTCTGCAGGTGACAGTCTCCGTCTCGCTGCTGTACCTCCCCAGTCCTGACGTATATCCCGCTGCATCTCCCTCAGGTGGCAGCCGGGCGCGTGGTCTGCGTGCAGCGTGTCGTGCGGCTCCGGCCAGCAGAGCCGTCCCATGGTGTGTGTGAGGGACGGCCGGATGGAGCCGCCGGAGCGATGTCCGGGCGGCCAGCCGGCCGAGCAGAGCCGGCCCTGTCAGCAGCCGGCCTGCGGCGCCGGCGGCCTCTGGCGCATCGGACGATGGTCGCCGGTCAGTAGAGGGGACGGGGGCTGTGCGGGGAGGGCTACTGATAGGTATAGAGCTACTGATCAGCAGTGACGCTGGCGTAAAATTTAGTTGATGTCGGGATAAAAAAAAAACTGTCAACGGAAAGTAAACATTGTGTTACGCACAAGGGACGTTAGTTGTTTGCAATACATCTGGATCCGTTTTCGTGGTAATACGCCGGCTTGAATCATGTTGACCTGACCTGACCTGACCCATAGTGCTCGTTGACCTGCGGCTGAGGCCAGCGGACCCGCGAGATGGATGATCTGACCCGACCCCTGACCCCTGACCTCTGACCTGTCCCGCAGTGTTCGGTGACCTGCGGCTGGGGTCAGCGGACCCGCGAGGTCACCTGCCACCCGGCCGAGGGACTGTGTTCGGACGCGGACCGGCCGCGCGACACCCAGCAGTGCCGCCGGAGGATGTGTCGCAGCGGCTCGATTGAGGACACCGACACCGGTACTGACTCTGACGACTCGGAGTCAGAGTCGGAGTCAGAGTCGGAGTCGCTGACCGACTCGTGGATGGTTAGCGAGTGGAGCGAACAGGTCAGTGTACGGCCGGAACGGATGGTCGAATGGGGAGGAGGGGAGAGAGATCGCCATTGGAAGCAGTGTAAAAAGTTCGAACTAGGCTTTCACACAAAGACTACAAAGTGTGTGCTGCTGTTTTGTTTTAGGTGCAGCACTTGATCATATGAATTTGAGTATCAAAGCCATCAAGTAAACACCGTCCGTTTGACAACTGACCCCCTCACTCCCCCCCCCCTCCAGTGTTCGGTGGACTGCGGCCAGGGCGTCCAGTGGCGCCAGGTGGTCTGCTCCGGCTCCTGTGATATTAACTGACTCCCCCCCCCTCCAGTGCTCTGTGGACTGCGGTCAGGGCGTCCAGTGGCGCCAGGTGGTCTGCTCCGGCTCCTGTGATATTAACTGACTCCCCCCCCCCCCCTCCAGTGCTCTGTGGACTGCGGCCAGGGCGTCCAGTGGCGCCAGGTGGTCTGCTCGGGCTCCTGTGATATTAACTGACTCCCCCCCCCCTTCCAGTGCTCTGTGGACTGCGGTCAGGGCGTCCAGTGGCGCCAGGTGGTCTGCTCAGGCTCCTGTGAGAACCAGCGCCGGCCCGAGGACACCCGGCCCTGTAAGACAGACAGAGGCTGCGCGGGAGTCTGGTTCACAGGACCGTGGAGCAGGGTGAGTCGCCGTGGGTGGAGGGGTGACACTGATGACATGACGGAGCATGACGATACGGCAGAGCATGTAGCTGAAATTATCAGTTGGTAGTGCTGATTTCTGGTTCTTTAATCGTTTGAAAGTCGTTGATTGTCTGTGGACGGTATGCTCTGTATTTTGATGAACATTTTGCTCTTGTTCAGGTTTTTGGTGGATCTGGTGATGTTCGCCTTTATGTGCTTCTAACTCCCCCTCCCCGTCCCCCAGTGTTCTCACGCCTGCGGCGCGGGCGCCCAGACCCGCCCTGTGACCTGTGTGCGGCTGGACGCCGGCCGGCCCGCCGTCGTGCCCGAGTCGGCGTGCTCGGCGCCGCGGCCGGCCGACCGTCAGCCGTGCTCTGGCGGGGCGTGCGCGGCCCGCTGGCACGGCTCCGACTGGGGGGTGTGCTCGTCGAGCTGCGGCGCCGGCCGCCAGAGCCGGGCCGTGGCCTGTCTGGCGGCGGCCGGAGCGGCGGCACAGAGCTGCCCGGCTGACGGACGGCCGCAGGACAGCCGGGCCTGCCTGCTGGCAGACTGTCCCAGGAGAGGTACGTACAGGGGACGGGGGGTACAGTAGGGTACAGGACAGGGGTACAGGACAGCCGGGCCTGCCGGCTGGCCGACTGTCCCAGGAGAGGTACGTATGGACGAGCATTAACGCAGGGAGGTACAGGAATTTGTACGGATTGTCAGGGAAAGTAGAAATGGGTAGTTAAGGCTTGTAGAGGTAGGTAAGGGTGACTGTGTTTACTGCTTACAGATTCCTGATTTACGCATCTGCTTTTGTGATTGTTCAACTGCACACATTTTGCATAAATAGCTTCAGCATCCTTTGTAACTGAGCACATGCTTATTCGTTGTCAGGCCTGAGCACAAGTCCTCGGCTTTGTCTGTCTCGCTGCGCCATGTATGTGTGTGCCGTTCGCCACGACTGTCTGCTTTTCGCCACGGATGTCCGCGCGTTCGCCCTGCTTTGTGTACCGTCCGCACTGCTTTTTGCGTGTCTCTCGGGCCGCGCTAGCCGCCGGCTTCAGAGGCTGACCGCACCGCTTCTCTGTTCCCCTGCAGCGCTGTTCGACTGGGCCTCGCCAAACGGCACCAGCACCGCCGCCCAGCCGGCCGACTCCGGCAGCCCAGCGCCGCCCGGCGCCAGCGGCGCACACTCGTCACTGGCCGCGCCGCCGGTAGATGGCAGTGACCGCGCCAGCGGCTCGCTGGAGCCGTTCCGGGCCAGTCCCACGGAGACGTATGACGCCGTGGTCAATACGATAGTGAACGACCCTCCGTCAGAGAGGGATAACTCTCTGGAGCCGACCCGAGAGCCGTGGGTGGGCGCGGCGCCCCCTCTGACCCCCGCCCCCGCCCCCGCCACAGAGGCGGCCGCCTCGGCGGCGCCGGCGGCCGTGGAGCGGCCGGCTCAGCACCGCGCCGGTCACCGCGACCGGCCGCGGAAACACCACAAACACAGACAGAGGCCGGCCGGCGACCAGCAGCACAGCGACCAGAGCAACAGCCTCGCGGCCGGTGAGACAGGACCGGGCGAGGCTGAAGGGCTGAGGGCCGGGCGGGTGAAGACCTGAACGTTTCTCCTTTCCCATTAATGATATCTAATAGGCAATGTGAATGATTCGTTATCTTTGGCTTTGCTTGCACGTGAACCATTATCGTTTGTGATGGACTCAGTTGTGACCGATAATAGCGTAGTTCGCTGCTGCCACCTCGGTTTGTTTGTTTGTTTTGTTGGGTTAGGCCCTTTCGGTCCAGTAAGACCATTTCAGAGCCGGGAGGATGATAGTATATAGGGGGAGACATTGGTCTGGGCAGGCACCCTAGTGAGTCGCCGGGGCTGAGCCCGTCCAGAGGACAGGCCACCCAGCCCCAAGGCACTCGCTGCACCCGGCTACGGGGTGCGCTCCCTCGGGAGCAGCGGTGCCGCTCCAAGGGAGCAGCCCGCATGAGATAAAGCTGCCTGTCCAGCCCGGAGGGGGGTTGCGGTGTGGAGGAGAAGGATTTCAGTATCCTGATGATAGAAGCATGGAACGGTGTGCCACCTCGGTGTTTACTTTTTATAGTCGTACCTGTTAATGTTGAGTCCCAGGCCCCTCCCGCATCTGACGCGCCCGTGCATTCCTCTCCCGCAGACTGTGTGGACCGATTCAACAACTGCCGACTGGTACAGCAGGCGCGCCTCTGCAGATATAAATACTACAAGACGCACTGCTGCGAGACCTGCAGTCGCGTCTGAGCCGGGCCGACCGGCTGAGGTATCACACAACACAGCACTGCCATCTGGCGGCGCGCCCGCACTGCCACCTAGTGAGCCAGCGGCGAACCGGCAGTGCGCGGCCGGCCCAGTAGAGGACTCTGTATGAGAGCCAGGCCGGGCCGGCACGTGAGGCACAGTGATCGCCGAGGGTGGGGCGCCCTGTTTCAGTCAGGGGCAGACCCCACCCACTAGTGCAGGGTCACAGTGAGATGGACCCTGTGCAGGGTTCCAGCGAGATGGACCCCGTCAGACGGACACACGAGCTTCCCCGGAGGCGGCCCCCAGTCCGGCGGACCCCGCGGGCGGCCCGTCCCGCCTGCAGCGTGTATTGGCGGCAGCCGGCCTGCAGCAGCGCCGGCCGGCCGCCCGACTCAGCTTCCAGTGACGCTTTTAACACAGTACTGTATTTAAGCGCGCGCGTCACGACTCGTGGTCTAGGTCATTGCCGTAGTGGTGAGCGCCGCGCGGCGGCCCGACGGGCGGTAGACGGCGAGCAGGGGCATCTGAGCCCCCCTGTGTGTGTCTCGGGCCGCGAGCGGGCCCCGGGACGGCTCTCGAATGTTCGCTTCCACGCACTCATCGTCGGTAATATATATGATCATCGCTGTCCAGTGGCGAGCTTGTAAACGTGATAGTGTCTGCGGAAATGTGACACAACGGGAGGCTTATTAGTGTGCACGCTGTCTTACTCGCCATGTCTTTTACAGGACGGAGTGCCTGACTGTTACACCCAAGGTTCCTTAGGTCGGCTTCATCAGAGCTCTGCGCAGGGATTTGAACTCTGGTCCGCAGTATAGAAGACGGGGATCCGGTTCCTGCGCCAGATGACTTCCATGTGACCCCGGACTTGTTCCTCAGCAACGTAAGTTGGTCAGCTGATCGAACAGTTAGCCGCAAACAAGTCAGTTGTATTGTTCTCTGGGAGACGTTGGACATCCCCTCGGCGGAGGGCGGACCTTCACACCACTCCACAACACAGCAGGACGGACCCAACACAGCCTGACCGGCCGGCGCAACAACACAACAAACGCAACAACTGAGGCGGCCCGCCGCCACAACAACACGTCAGGACCCAGGGTAGGCCCTACCTAGGGAGAGGATTCGATACACAGACGGGAGGGGACTGACTGGGTGGACGCGGCGGGGATCAGATTGAGACGGTGTGTAGTGAACGGTGACGATAGAGTGCTATCAAAGGTTAGAGAACATTGATTACGCTAAAAAGAGATTTACCATTCATTCGCTGGGAGTTGTGTAATGCACGGCCGACATGTTAAACTCTGATAACCATAACAAATAACACTACAAGTCCAGTAACTGTCCAGTGCGAGGCATAGTTAGGTTCAATGGCAGTGTTACTATCTACATGGCATGACCGGCATGCATCACTGAAAATATAGTTATATCATTAACAGTCCAACATAAATATCATATTCCGTCAACACATACAATTATAGTCCACACTGTTAAACACTTGCATACAGATGCCGCTTCGTGTGCTAAGCCGCATGAGTCTAACCCGCCCACTAAGGTGAGAGCATTAATTTGCTACCGATGTGATATTACAGATGTTTTGGAATGCTCCGGTCGCATATTATACGTGGGAAAGCACTTGGTGTTCGTCCTGCGGAGCTGGCAGGGCGCCTTGACCCCGTGACCTGGTGACCGGTCACGTGACCCGGTGACCGGTCACTCCACGGCACGGCGAGTGGTGTCACAGGCACACACAGCACAGCACACAGTCACGCTGGTGGCACACAATGAGATAGTGGTGCACATAGGTAACACAGAGGACCCATAGTCGCACAAAAGACCCTCAGAGGGCCCATAGTGGGACACAGGACCCTCAGACGACCCATAGTGGCACACAGGTGACAGGACCCACAATGGCACATAAAGGAAACCCCGAGGACCCTTAGTGCCACCCAGGAAACCCAGAGGACCCATAGTGGCACGCAGGACCCCCAGTGGCACACAAGACTCAAAGAGGCCCCCGTGTGACACGCAGGATCTCCTGAGGGTCCGCGTGACACACAGAGGACCCATAGTGACGCACAGGACTCTCAGCGGGCCAACAGTGGCACGCAGAATCCTCAGAAGAAACATAGCGGCAGACAGGACCCTCATGTGACCCACAGTGGCACATAGGGTTCTCAGAGGACCCATTGTAATACACAGGATCTTCAGAGAACACAGGATCCTCAGAGGACCCAAAGTGGCACACAGGACCCTCAGAGGGCCCACAATGGCACGCACAGGACCCCTCAGAGGACCCATTGCGGCAGACAGATCCCTCATGTGACCCATAATGGCACGCAGGATCCTCAGAGGATTCATAGTGGCACACAGGATTCCAGAGGACCCATAGTGGAAAATGAGACCCTTATAGGACCCATAGTGCACACGGGACCTCCAGAGAACCCATGGTAGCACGAGAGACCCTCGCAGGACTCGTAGTGGCTCACAGGAAACCCAGAGGACCCATAGCGACACAACAACCCTCAGGGGACCCATAGTGACACACAGGACCCTCAGAAGACCGATAATGGCACACAGTATCCCACACAGGATCCCCTACGGCACACAGGACCCGCAGAAGGCCCATAGTGCCACACAGGACCCTTGGAGGACACTAGTAGCACACGGGATCCCTCAGAGGATTCATAGTGGCAACAGAGGACCCATAGTGGCAGACCCTCAGAGGGCCATAATGTCACACACAGGGGCCTCAGAGGACCCAGGACGGATAGGAAGCTCTGGGTTACGGCTGTTAAAACAGGAGAGACGGAGAGCAGTGTCGCCGACACAGGATCGTCAAATGTACGATGCCAAAAACACTATCTAGCAATGCCGTTACATGATAAAATTTGGCGCAGAGCAGCTCCTGAATCTCTGTGCAGTTAGTGATTGGTAGACCCGCGTAGATTCGTCTCCTGAGCTCTGTGACGCTGCCCCCACAGCTGCAGTTTCGGTACACATCAAAACAAACAGCGAGAACTCCGACTATACCCCCCAATCCTCCGTCGTAACCACCCATCAGACGGCCGGCGCCCCTACTGCAGTGACGTCATCACTCCATCAGCGCAGTGACGTCACGGTGCTGGAGGTGACGTCATCCGTGTCGTCATCGGACTCGGTCATGTCTGAGTTTGTGGCGGAGCTGAGCGCGAACTCTCGCTCAAACTCATCCTGCGGCCGCCACCTGCCGGTCACGCGAACACGGAGAGACACGGGGTCAGATGGGGCGGGGAGGGGGCGAGAGGGGGAGAGGTGGTGTTGGGAAAAACAGCAAGGAAAACAATCATCGAATATTCGAGAGCGAAATGTGCCATTATATTGACATTAGATAAAGCTGGGTAAATTTGAAGTGACTGCAGTGACCGGGACAGCAATCTTTTAGTGAGACTTGGCATACGTTTACGAGTATAGCCGAGGACACGGGCAGGCAGCGTTACAGCCGTGCAAGTTATAAGCGCAAAGGATCCACACAAAACAGTTACAAAGCGTGCAACAAAGGTGTTGGCGGTGGGTAAAGAACGGCATTGCGGTGTGGTGATAAATAATAATAAATAGACTCATCGTGTAATTTAGCTCTTAAACAGGTTGATTAAACCAGGTTAATTTGATGTGAAAAGTGTGTCGCATCCGACGAAAGTTAACGCCAGCAAATAAAAACTTAATGTTTAGCTTATCAACAGGTTAAAAAAATGCGAGAAAACGAAAGTGAAAACTGGAACACTGAAGCTGCCCCCCACTGTTAAGTCCAGTAGGTCCGCCCCGGAGTCCCGTGGCCGGCTCATCTATCGTCCCCCCCCCCTACCCTCCCCGGACCAGTACCCCTCCCTATGCCGCCTGAGTGACCGACCAGTAGGCGGCGCGCGCGCGCTCCAGGCTGGCCAGGTCGCCGGGCACGGAGATCAGGTGGAGCGCCACGGCCAGTCGGGCGCCCGTCTCCTCCAGCTGCTGGGTGGACAGGTGGGAGCCCTGGCGCGCCCAGCCGCGGCAGAGGGGTCAGGCGGGCTCTGGGAGCTTCATCAGGGGATTAGAATCAGACAGACGGCAAGGTAGGACGAGCGAGGAGAAGAAAAGGAAACTGAAGGATTGAGAAAATATATAGATTAGGGGTTTGGCCCAGCCGAGGTGGAATGTTCACGGACACATGAATGAAACATGCGTTAGTCGTTACATACAGAGGGTGGTTCGGTTCTGTGGCAGGGAGACAGCCGGGGCACAGTCGACAGATTACAAAGGTAGCGGTATCGGCGCGGCTACAGACGCATGGTGACACGTTTAGGGTGCGTACGATGAATATTCGCCGTCCACGTACGCAATTATAACCACTAGCGTTAATAAAGGTTCCAGAGCGAGTCACCACATCTCAAAGCAAAGCTCGCCACTTTCGTATCTTCCTAGGCGTACTCTCCCAAGAATCATCAAATACAACGACCAGTTGTCAATTACAACGTACACCAGACCATACCAGACCAGACCAGGAGGACCCTGCCAGGCCGCCCCTCCCCCGGCCCCGTTCCCGCCGTCTCCGCCCTCTGCCGGTACCTGGTAGGGTCCCTGGTCGCAGCCGCAGTAGCTGCTCTCCAGTGTGTAGCTGCGCTGCACGCCCAGCTCCCTCCAGACCACCACCCGGGCCGTGGTCTCGCGGGAGCGCTCCACCGACAGGTGGCAGCACCGCAGACTGAACGCCGGCGCCACCCGGTACAGCGCCTGTTTAACAGACGGATACAGACTGAACACCGGCCCTGTATATACAACACATTGATACAGGCTGAACGCCGGCGCCACACGGTACAGCGCCTGTACGACACACGGATAATTACTAGCCAGTCGCAGATACTATTTGTCCCCCGACATATACACGAGCGCAACGCACTCAAGAAAGCGTACCCCTGTCTCAAAGTTATTAATAACTGGAAACCAGCAGCCGGCCGTAAGAGATATGGCTCAGGTTCCACTCGTCATCAGCACAGGCAAATGGTGCAAGTCATTCGATATGGACCAGCTCAAGCCGTGACTAGCGTCGAAGACGGCATTAATCGACTGACTGTTGTTTCACCTGAGGCAGGCAGGCGGCTCGCTGTCTCACCTGAGGAAGACAGGTGGCTCCCTGTCTCACCTGAGGCAGACATGCGGCTCCCTGTCTCACCTGCGGCAGGCAGTCGCCTCGTGGTCTCACCTGCGGCAGGCAGCTGACCAGCGGCTCGTTGTCGGCCGCCTCGCGGTCGGCGGCCAGCCAGGAGCGCCGATTGCTGCAGCCGTACAGGAAGATGTTCTTACGGCACGAGTGTCCGTGGTAGTCGCAGAACAGGTAGGGCGGCCGCTTCAGCACGAACGTCGAGTACTCCAGCATCGCCTGAACGGACAGCGGCGGCGGGACGGCTTTGAGAATACTGCATTTTCGGAAAGACTGAACGAGAACGACCGTATTGAAAACGGTTTAGCATGTGAAAACAATGCATCGGATAACACTCCGAGCCCTAGACGCATTGCAAGAGGTTCTTGGAGCAAACCAGAGCTGCATTATGCTATCGCACTGAGAAGGCGGGAGGGGTGGGATCACTCTTATCGCGACCGGCGCTCAAACTGGGAACTGACCGCCCTGAGTCCCCCCGCTGACCTCACTGACCTTGGTCCGGTATATGACCGGGTGCAGGTGGGGGTCGGGCGTCTTCCAGCGCCGGTTCAGGTCCTCGTCCGTCAGACCGCACCGGTGACTGCCGGAATGACAGAAACACAGAGACGGTCACCTGATAGTCACCTGTCACTGAGATAGTCACCTGTCACCTGATTACTTATCAAAACTGCACTTGTTTCTGAAGAATATCAATGATTCAGCAAGTCAAATGACTCATCTCGGCGCTACCTGGAGCCGGACCTTATCCGCTTTATCCACAGACGGTAGATGCTCATCCTGGTAGCCGCCTTCCCAACTCCATCCCCTCTCATTCAGTCCTCATACCTCCCACCCGGCATTCCCCCCTCACCCCTGTCCCCCCTCTCACTGACCATCCGTTGACGACTCCTGCCACGTTCAGCATGGGCACCAGTTTGAATATGAACCGGTCTCGGAGGGCTGCCGCCTCTGGCGCGTCACTGAGCAGGAAGCGCAGTGTGCCCTCCAGCGACCACGAGGCGCCGCTCTCCCCCGGGTGGATCCGGGCAGTGAGGAACACCATCTCCTTCTGAGGGAAGAGTGGGGAAGGTCAGAAACACCATCTTCTTCTGAGAGGAGAGAGGGGGAGGGGTGGATCTGCGCAGTGAGGAACACCATCTGCTTCTGGGGGGAGAGGAGAGTGGGGAAGGTCAGAAACACTATCTCCTTCTGAGGGGCAGAGGCCAAAGGGGTAATCAGCGCTGTCAGAAACATCATCTCCTTCTGAAGGGGCAGAGGGGAGAGATGGTGGGATAAAGCGAGAGAGAGAGAGAGAGAGAGAGAGAGAGAGAGAGAGAGAGAGAGAGAGAGAGAGAGAGAGAGAGAGAGAGAGAGAGAAAGAGAGAGAGAGAGAGAGAGAGAGAGAGAGAGAGAGAGAGAGAGAGAGAGAGAGAGAGAGAGAGAGAGAGAGAGAGAGAGAGAGAGAGAGAGAGAGAGAGAGAGAGAGAGAGAGAGAGAGAGAGAGAGAGTGAGAAGAGGAGGTGGTCCAAAAACACCATCTCCTACGGGGAGAGAGAGGGAGAAGGTTAAGACGAGAGATTCAAGAAATAAAACGCGGAGACAATCAAATCAATAAGGCATGGAAGAATAGGCGGAATAATTAAGCAAAGTGATCCGTAGTATCGTTGAGCCCGTTCATTCTTTAGGCCAATCAGTGACTGTCTCAATGACTACAGAAGAAACGATATACCTACGTCATTACTACACATGTTGACGCTACAACAGGGCGCCCACTCTGGCTCCCTCAATTATCAGCGCACGTCTTCGTAGCGTCTCGAGCTGACCTTGTGCTGGGGTCCGTGGCCGGTGACGGTGACCAGAGACGCCGTGTTTCTGATTACTGACCTTGTGCTGGGGTCCGTGGCCGGTGACGGTGACCAGAGACGCCGTGTTTCTGAACTGACCTTGTGCTGGGGTCCGTGCCCTGTGACGGTGACCAGGGACGCCGTGTTTCTGATTACTGACCTTGTGCTGGGGTCCGTGCTCTGTGACGGTGACCAGGGACGCCGTGTTTCTGAGCTGACCTTGTGCTGGGGTCCGTGCCCTGTGACGGTGACCAGGGACGCCGTGTTTCTGATTACTGACCTTGTGCTGGGGTCCGTGCTCTGTGACGGTGACCAGGGACGCCGTGTTTCTGATTACTGACCTTGTGCTGGGGTCCGTGCCCTGTGACGGTGACCAGGGACGCCGTGTTTCTGAACTGACCTTGTGCTGGGGTCCGTGCTCTGTGACGGTGACCAGGGACGCCGTGTTTCTGATTACTGACCTTGTGCTGGGGTCCGTGCCCTGTGACGGTGACCAGGGACGCCGTGTTTCTGAACTGACCTTGTGCTGGGGTCCGTGGCCGGTGACGGTGATCAGGGGCGCCGTGTTTCTGAACTGACCTTGTGCTGGGGTCCGTGGCCGGTGACGGTGACCAGGGACGCCGTGTTCCCGTCCAGGTCCGCCGCCAGGGTCTCAGTACCCCACCAGATGTCCGGTGACACGGCGCAGCTCCCCAGCAGCTCCAGCACCGTCTGAGAGGGAGACGGAGGGACCGGTGTTACGCTACAGGAGTAACAGTTCCTACAGCGCCTGAGAACTCACTGACTCATGGCCGGACACAGGTGTTACATCCGAATGGTGTATCGAATAGCTCCAAGAAAACCAGGAACGCTTATCTCCAACAGATCGCCTGCGGCTGTAGCCTGCGCAACCGCAGGCGTAGGGTAGGGTAGGGTAGGGTAGGGTAGGGTAGGGTAGGGTAGGGTAGGGTAGGGTAGTGTAGGGGTAGGGTAGGGTAGGGTAGGGTAGGGTAGGGTAGGGTAGGGTAGGGTAGGGTAGGGTTGCATTGAGTAACATCCTAACTTACAAAGGGCTCGAAAAACTCGCATGCATCACCATCATACTTTACAGTTTTTTTCTATTTTTTTCTTTTTTTCTCTCTTTACAGTTCAATTAAAAGCAGTTACCCAATCTACACAAATAATACCAATAAAAATGCAAGTTTCTACACCCAAACTGGAGTGATTACGTTCACCGTTCCGTGCTTCTATCCTCAGGATACTGAAATCCTTTTCCTCCACGCCGCAACCCCCTCCGGGCTGGACAGGCACCTTTATCTCATGCGGGCTGCTCCCTTGGAGCGGCACCGCTGCTCCCGAAGAAGTGCACCCCGTAGCCGGGTGCAGTGAGTACCTTGGGGCTGGGTGGCCTGTCCTCTGGACGGGCTCGGCCCCGGTGACTCACTAGGGTGCCTGCCCAGACCAATGTCTCCCCCTATTTTCTGTCATCCTTCCGGCTCTGAAATGGTCTCGTCAGACCGAAAGGGCCTAACCCAACAAAACAAAAACAAAGAGATTACGTTACTACAACAGCAGAGTTGTGGCTATTCCGAGAGCGTTAGCCAGCACCTACCCTCATCCTGGTGTAGGTGTACCCCCTATTTTCTGTCATCCTTCCGGCTCTGAAATGGTCTCGTCAGACCGAAAGGGCCTAACCCAACAAAACAAAAACAAAGAGATTACGTTACTACAACAGCAGAGTTGTGGCTATTCCGAGAGCGTTAGCCAGCACCTACCCTCATCCTGGTGTAGGTGTACGGGTAGTGGTAGGCATCTATCTCACCCTCATCCTGGTGTAGGTGTACGGGTAGTGGAAGGCCATGTAGCAGACGTCGGCGTCGTGCGGGAACTTGACGCAGAACGAGGCCGTGCAGTACACACGGTTGTGCTTTCCCTGCTGCAAAACACAAGGAACGTAACATCAATACGGACACAGACCGTACCACCACTTATCACAGTGTTATCTTTAACCCGATCTCTACACAGTACCGCCGCGTTCCCTTCCCTAACTGACTTGTTTTCGACTGCCCGGGTGTCGGGCCTGCCCAGTGCCCACGGTACGCACAGTACTCCCCCTCCCCTACCTCTCCTGCTTTCGACTGCCCGGGAGTCGGGCCTGCCCAGTGCCCACGGTACGCACAGTACCCCCCCCCCCTCTCCCCCAATGCACCTGTTTGCGGCTGTCCGGGTGCGGGGCCTGTCCGCGGTATCCCCTCCCCCTAACGCACCTGTTTTCGACTCCCCGGGTGTCGCGCCTGTCTGCGGTAAGCGTTCCGGTAGCAGAAGACGTCCATCCCGACCCTGGTCCAGTGCGGTCGGCCGCGCAGAGACTCCTTCACAGAGAACAACACCGGGCGCATCCCTGCCGTCGGGCAGAGAGGGGGTTTGTGACAGCGAGTGGAGGAGCGGGAGAACTGTGAGTGGAAATTAACAGTCGTCACAGCCTCATATGGAAGGCGCTATGAGTATTTTGAGTAATCAAAGTCAAGTTGGCATTCCATGTTTAGGGAGGAATGAGAGCTGGGTTGCACTCACCCCGTCGGCCCCTTGGTCAAGACGAACGAAGGAAATCGACGGGTCTGGCGAGGGTGAAGCCCCCCCCCCCCTCCCCGAAGCCGTCACCGCCGTCGCTGACGGTCGTCGTCTGGCGCTGCTGGTACCGCACCTGTCTGGTACTCGCAGCGCAGCTTCTCGTTGTTGATGACGTTGAATGTGTAGGTCAGGTCGGCGCGCATGTTGGACACCTCAAAGTAGAACCACTGCTGGTGTCGACTGGAGCTGACGTCCGGACACAGGATCAGGTCGTACTCGTGGGGACCCGTCTGCGGAGAGTAAAAATGAACACCCATACCCTCAATATGTAAAGAACAACAAGCAACACGATCGTAAAGGTCTGCCGAAAGAAGAGAACTAACTAAAAGACTTGACTAGAGAACGATAAACCGAATGTATGACTTACATTTGGTGCAGAAAAAATCGTAGTGAGGGCACCTAGCAGAAAAGATAAAACAAGAAATAGTGACTGGTTTAGGAAGCTAGCTGTGACTGCCTGTTCGTGTCGCAATCGCAAACCTACCCGTATGCTCCTACGCAGGTTTCCGGACTCGAAGCGGGACTCGAAGCGCAGGCTGGACTCCTGGTTGATCTCGATCAGGGTCGATGACACCGTCTTTTCGTCGTGGTTGTCCAGAACCCTGGAAAGATAGCGTTCGAACATATTAAGAACAGAAGTCGAGTCGGTGAGGGGCGATAGAGCCGTACAAGAGTGAAGGTTAGAAGAATCATAGACGATTCAGTCAGCTGTCGCATTTATGTGTTACCGACCAGTGCTCAACCATTCACTTCATCCTCCTGAGGAAACGTGGAAAGACGACCAGTCCTCATCTCGAGGTGAGGCCGTTATCTTCTCTGAGGAAGGTTGACGGCCTCTTCTGAGAATGTCATCGTTCCCTCCGGACAGTCCTCCCGAGCCAGTGTTCTCACTTGAGACTTGATCTCATGGGATAAAGTTCTTCTCTGAGACTATTCTCGTTCTCACCTGAGACTGTTGTCCTCCCTGGAAAAGGTTCTCACCTGATGCTATTGTCCTCCCGGGAGAACGTGGACACGAGGAAGTCGTAGTCGTAGACCACCTTGGTGTCCAGACTGCGCTGGCCCAGCGCGTCGTCCACCAGACTCTGCACCTTTCGTCTGTTGTACAGACCGAGAAGGCACGGTCAGACGGGTACGGTGAGCGGGTGTATATCGGACATAGTGTGTCAGATACCGCGGGACAGACACGATAGGAGCCGAGACAGGATAGTGGAATGATGCAAGCTGGTAGGATCTGCTCCCTTTGGGCTCATTCTGATCCAAAACAGACCGACCATCGCAAATTTGGTGAGATGAAGTGAGATAAACCCCAATAGTCTATGAAAGAGCTCTCATAACTACGGCCATACATCGTAAAAAAGGAATGCCGCACTGAGTCATGCACGACAGCCCCCAAAATCACAAACAGACCGTCCCCGACAATTTCCCGGTAACTTCTCTCGCGAAGTCTCCCCCCCCCCCCCCCAATCCCTGCTATTCAGTTGAAATCAGCTCCGGTCACAAGCCCACGATACCTGCACACCATGCGGTCACAGGTCCCGAGCGGCTCGCTCTCCCCCGAGCTGGCGGCGCCCACCATATCCGGGTAGGCCAGCTTCACGAACGGCGCCACGTGCCGCGTCTTCTGCGCCAGACGCCTGCCGGGCGGCAGCGGGCAGGCTCGTTACGGCTGGGTAGCGGCAGCTCAGTGGTGCGCTGGGGGTGCATCGGTTGTCGTGTGGATTGAAAGTAATGGTGTACGATAAAGCCAATGGGATGAACGATATAAGAGGCACAGTTTTCTTCACGGTATGGTCTCGGTACACTGTACATAGTTTGCAAGCTGCTTCACTTTGGCATCAAAAGACGACTGAGCTTGCTATCTACGCATGTCATCGATTATACGCTCAATTTAGCGCCATTCGTCGGGTGTCTCATAGTCCCGCTATCTCAGTACTGCAGTACCTCCGTCCTGTACCGCAGCGGGCCCTCGGCCGTACCTGTACACCTCGGTGTACTGTCTGCGGGAGTCGCCCTGGCCGCCGCGCTCCGAGAGGCGCTGCCAGGCCTCCTGAAGCCGGCCGGGGGTCAGCCGGCCCTCGGCGGCCCCCAGCGCTGTCGGCGGCGGGGCGGCGCAGGGCCGCACCCCGGCCCGCTGCCGACACAGCCGGGTCAGGCAGCGCGGCAGGCACTGGCAGCCGGCGCCCTTCTCGGCCGGGGAGAGCGCCGGAGAGGCCTCCGAGGGGGGCGGCGCGCGCGGCGGGCTGCGCGGCGCCGCCGGCTCGGCCAGCTCGGCGAACAGCGGCGCGCAGCGGAGCAGCTCGGCGGCCGGCGCGCGCACCGGCTCCGGCAGGCAGGCCGGGTGGGCGCGCACCAGCGCCGCCGGCTGCTCCGTCTCCGTCTCCGTCTCCGTCTCCGTCTCCGTCTCTGATCCCGACTCGTCGTCCGACCCGCCGTCGGCGTCTGGGGGAGGGGGAGAGTGGTCAGTGGGAGAGGGGCGGGGCGGGGCGGCCTTCTGAGAACATGCGGCGCAATAGTAACGCACTGCCGTTACGTAACGCGCTGCGTCACCCACGCGCTATGAGTAATAGTACCGTGCCCACGGTTAGTGCCGCGCTCACGGCGCAATAATAATCAACGGGGACGGTCGACGTAAGGCCAGCGCAGTAGAGAGCCGGCCACTTACAAAAACTGCGCGCTTAGTACTGAACTGTAAACTGAAACCAATCAAAACTACGCATGTTCATTGTTCTGCGCTGGATGATACTGAGAAGTTGCGTAAGAAAAAAGAACGGGATAATTTCACTAAAATGTCTAATGACTATCCACTAAGAGGCGATAAACCCACGTAGAGTGTTGTCCTGTTCGGGCCACAGAGGAGCTATCCATCATACCTGCGAACAGAACTTCGATTCGGGCGCTGTACGTACAACGATTTCTGCCGACCTAACAGCAACGAAACACTACATTCAAGAGCATAAATCATACACTTATGTTGGTGTAGCTATAATGATTACCTGAGCCATAGATAGCATGAATCATGTTATATATGCCTAAGTTTTTGTAACTATAATCAAGCGCAAAAAAAAACATAATAGCAAGGCTCCCATTTACATCATAGCGCAGGTATCAACAAACACCCCGAGTCCCTCTAAATAGGTCCCAACAGAAGCCCCCAGAAGCCCCATAGCCCCGTTCCCCCGGGGCGCGGTGCCGTACCTCCCTTGCCGTCTGCTGTGGCGCGCGCCGCCGCCGGAGCCGTGAAGCTGACCGGACTCTCCAGTCGCGCCACGGGCAGACTCCACTTGGCCACGCAGCGCAGCACGGTGTTGGCTGCGCGACAGAACAGCCGGTCGTGCCGCTCCGCCGGTGAACACGAACGGAGGAACGACTGCATCGCCTCGCAGACGCGGGCCTCCATCAGCGCCTCCCGGCCCGGCTCTGAGGGGAGAAGTCACCGGCGGGTCAGAGGAGTAGCCAACGGGTCAGAGGTTACCAACGGTCCAGAGGGGTCACAAATTGTTTAGAGGGCGTTATATGTAGATATTAGAAAGGCCACTGGCCACTGCACTGGTATACTTGTACCTATAAGAAGTCACTGATTTCGTTGCAGGTGAAATGTGAATCTCCAACGCTTTCGGATCTTCTGAACCCCCGTACCAGGACCTCAGCGATTTCAACGTTAAAGTCTAGGCGGGCGGAGGTCCTGGTACGGGGTTCAGAAGATCAGAAACGGTTGGAGATTCACATTTCACCGACAACGTGGATTCGGAAAGGTAGCCGGGCCGGGCGAGGACCAGTAAGAGAGCGGGGCGACGAGGAAGAAGGAACACGAAACACGGTCAATGGTTTGAAATAAAAATCAGTTTCCAGCATACGTAATGGCATTAGCCAAAACGAGCAATCCGTGGAAAGTTCCTGATCGTGAAGTGAGCAAACGGCAGTCAAGTTGAGCCACTAGGAATCCAGAAGCTCAGTATGTTTATACCGCGGAGCTCCAGGGGTATATCACAGCCTACAGAGGCCAGCTGAGTTCAGCGACCGCCAGCGGCCGAAATCAAACTTCAGCCTTTAGATATCAGCGGCAGGGAGGCCATATAGAAGCCCGCGAGCGTTCAAAGAGTGACACGAGTCCACTGTTTGTGATATTGCAGCGAGAAGCGTGACCTTGACAAGCACAGTAGGTACTCTGCAGTCCGCTCTGTTTATTGCCATGACTGCACTGTCCGCCCACCGCCATGCCACAAATATTCCACTATGCTGACAAGCGAGCACGAAGCGCGTAGCGAGACTATACTATGTAGCGAAATAGTCATTGCATGATCGGCTCGACTCGGTCTGAAATGCTTTTGAGACTTTTATCTTCGTCACCAGCTTTGGCAAACCTTCCCAATCTTAAGGCACTCAACGAGCGATACATTTCCATGAGTTCTGGTTGGAACTGCGCCAGGTCATGTGAACATCTCAAAAACGACTGAGCCGATTGCTCTAACTTTAGTACACCCGACACCGTTAGACACCGGTTAGGAAGGTGACCAGCACAATATTTTGGGTTTCACTTCGCACGTGCAAGTGACGTGCACTCGTGCGGTGTATTGTGTTCCTTTGCTTGTCACCCTTCAAGTCGCTTTACTGGAGACAAACACAGCATCATGACATCGTGTTTGCAAATGAAATCCCTCAAGTCCTGTCGTGCGTCGTATTTTTAACAAGAAAAAAAAACACGGCCGTATACCGAATCGCATTACCTGCAAATGTTTGCACACGCGGCAAAACACGCACTAGTATATTACACATTGTCCTCAGTATGTAACAATGAATCAACGTTTGCGTTAAGCAATCAGCCGATATGAACCAAGTAGGTAAAGAAATTATCAAATCGCGATAGGGGCGGATCAGTGTTTTGATGGGGAGGTGCACACGGTACTAACGCCGCGCGGCACTAACCGTTGGCGCCCTCGCCGCCCAATGGATGCGCACGGTACTAACAGCGATACGAGTAAACCAACATCTCGGCCTTAGTGAACAGATTAGATCACAATAACAGAAAAGACAAAGAGCCGAGATAGGGGGCAGGACTTTGGTTGTCCTTCAACCCATCATCTACAGATATAGGCAAACATCAGGCAAAAAACTATTGACATGCCAAATTATTATGGAAAACAGGCGGATGGCAAGCCTATTAAAAATGCATTGGGCAATGGGTTCGTTGGGTTAGTTAGAGGCTAGAGCTCTCAACTGCACTATATACAGAATGACCATATATAAATCCTGAGTAGCATGCACTGCCGCCACATCCAAACAAAGGAACGAACGAGTATCGTAACTCCCTTCTTATACATCAGAACGTCCGCTGAAAAATATCTCCTAGAGTCCGCAGCATCTATGTGGGGATAATTATAATGCATAAGGTCAATTAATAAGTAACTCAGTATCGCCCATAATTATCTTAATCCTCGCCGGCCAAGAGGGGACGAGTGCCACGAAAAGTCCGGAGAGGGCCGAAATCCCAAAAAAAGAGCAGGGAAAGTCAAGAACGGACTCGAAATGACGTGCGTGACCTAAGAGGCTGTAACCTGACCTTGAAATGAGGTCAACCCATTCAAAAAGTAGGTATATCATTCGACGCGCCTGATCATGGCAAACACGATGGTGCCGGAATTGCGGCTACGCGATTTCTTGGCAAAGTTCTTCACCTAAACCGAACCCCACGTTGGATCACTTAACCTGGCCTCAGAGGTCACGGACTGACCTGAGACCTTTAACCCGCGCCCCGTTGGGCTCTGCCGAGCAACGCGCCCCGTTGGGGGGGGGGGGGCATTTTGCCCCCCCCCCCTAAGATCTCGAGAACCACGCAACCTAGCGACAAGCGGCAAACGGTGTTGGATAGCCCTATCAGGGAACTACCTTGTGACCCAATTTTATTGACCTAGGTCAAACCGATGACGTCACAGGTCAGGTCAAAGGTCCAATTTTCACCGTTTACAGGCATTTCAAGAAATGCGTTGTAAAATCGAGTAAAATGCATTTCATTGAAAATCATCGATGGGGAAATGTTCTTCAAACACATATTTTGCTATTTGAGGTCACTGATACCAGGTCAGGTCACAGAGGTCAGGTCACTGGGGGGTCACAATATGAAAGTGTCGTGTGATACATGTTTTATGGTCCATTTTACATGACAAATGCGATTATGTGGGTCAGGCAGCCTTTGGGGCCAGATTAGGTCACGTTTTGGTCAAGGTCAGGTCAAGGTCAGGTCAAGGTCAGGTCAAATTAGGTCAAATTTCAAAGTTTATATTTTTGCATAAAATGGGTATCGAATCGATGCAGCTCGTCACGGGGAGTTCAATGGTGGTCTTTGTTTTGCCGTACGTGGTCTAGAAGTGCTAAAAATTGAGTTCAAATATTTGACGTCATCATTTTTGAACAGTGTTTTCGCTATAACTTGGCCAAAAAACGAGATATCGATCTGAAATTTGGTATGTATATAGAAGAGCGCAGGGACTATCACATATATTCCGGTTTTTTCGAAATTCGGATTTTTTTTTTGATTTTTTTAGTTTTTCTAAAAAAACAATTTTTTGAATTTTTGAGGGTCAAAAACCCAAAATTTTGAAAATCCGAGATAGCAGTTTTGTAGCGCCGCTTTTTGTCTACCAGACCATATAAAGAACTTTGAAATTGCTTGATAACTGTAGATTTGGTGAGCGTTTCAAGATTGCATGTTTTTTGCTCATTTTTGCTCGAACATGACCTCAGTTTGACCTCAATAACTCCTGACCTAAGGTGACCTAAGACTTGAAATTTGGTGTGAAGGTGTCAAATTGATGCCCGGGAAGGTACTGAAAATTTGGCGGCGCTGCGCGCCGCCGTTTTCTTGCTATTCAGGAAAAACCACAGGGGGGGGCCAAAATGCCCCCCAACGGGTCGAGGGTTAAAGTAAAGAGAGTACCAGTCGCTGTGTCTAGTTACAGTACAAATACTCCTTTCCGCGAAGCTCTAGCTCAGTTAGGGGAGAAACGGCATGGGGTGTTCCACCAGCGCCCCCCCCCCCTCCACTTGGCCGGGGCGTAAAACGTATAGGTAAAACTGATGGGACTAGCGAGGGTTAAAATGTTACACATTGTGTCAAAAGTATCATGCTCTTCCCCTTTTCAGAGCAGACTAGGCTACGTTCGTTCAAAAATATAGATATCACACCAAAATACTCTCGGAGGTATCTTATCCCTAATAATGCCAAAGTTCGTCTACAAAAAGAGCTTCAAACGGTTCTTAGAGCGACCCGCCATTGACAGTTCACGAAGTGTGCACCATAAACAGTTAGAAGAGCTGCTGCACCGCGCTGACAGCCGTGGCCTGCGTCAAACACAAACCGGGCGAATTCCTGCAGAAATGACTCGGAGCAGAGCTCCAAACAGTGCACCCGGTACAAACACGGTACCACACGGTACACCGCCGTCTCGAACTGCCCACGGCACGGCGCCGCCGGCCTCCTGGACGGCTGCACCCGGCACTGCTGCGCGGCGCCGGTCAGGAGGTAGCGCACGGCACGGGGATCGATCAGCTGCGCCCGGTACCTTGACGTCGCCGTACCGCACCGCCCACTCCCTGCTGCACACGGTACAGAGAGTGGAGACGCACGCACACATCTGGCGTAATTGTTGTTGTGGAGGACGCCGACCGGCTTAATGGGACTCCATCAGACAAGGCGCGTAGAAATCGGACCAGCGGAGCGCCAGGGCCTAACTATCTGAACTCCATGAATATCAGTCAAATATAATGCGCAGTTACCGAACGTATAATGCGCAGTTGCAAGCTGAGAGTACCGAATAGACGTAATGTCAAGTGATCGGGGAATAAGTTGGCGGCCAAACCAATAACGAAGGGGCCACGGGGTAAAGAAGGAAACAACGGGATTTCATACCTTACCGCCCCGGGAAACGGTTTAACCCTCGCGGGCCCGGGAGGGGGGCGTCTTCGCCCCCCCCCCCCCTGGCGAATATTTGCGATAGCTCCCGAACGCTTAGGGATAGGAAAGCGAAAATTTCAGTACCTTTTCTCCAATCAATTTGACATCTTCTGAAGTAAAAAATTTAGACCTAGCCCCATTGATGACGTCACAGCGTCGATTTTTCTAGACCCCTGCACGGCAAACTTCGGCGTCACGTACGCGAGCTTCAAATACAGCTGTAGGGGAAAGTGGGGTAAGACGGGCACCTTAACTTTGGAGCCATTTTTCGGCCGGTTAGAAACATCATAGAAACGGGAAACTGGGTGAAAACCTTTTTCAGACATTTTACTTTCATTTGCCAGAAGATGAGACTTAGACCTGATTCAACAAATAAACTGCAGCTATTTTTGCAAAACCTTGCAAAAACCCGTCTTACCCCACCCCATGGGGTAAGACGGTCACATGGGTAGGGCAAGACGGCCAGCTTCTTTCACCGATCAGCGCAGCTCGCAACAAATGCCCGAGATTAGCCGCATTTATACAGTCGCTCGTTGGTCTCAAGTGCTTCGGAAATGGCAGTATACGAGATTCGTGCAGAAGGCGTATGCTCCTATATAGGCCCTAGTTCAGAAGCCATGTAGAACCGTTTTTCACATTCATTATTCGAGAATAAACTGTGCCGAAGGAATATTGCTAACATGTCTGTGAGTATCGGAATCGAACATATTCTTATTAGAAATGCTTCTTTTTTCCTACAGCAACAAAAATATTTTCACCATTACAGACCCATTGGGTTCATAGTTGCCCGTCTTACCCCAAACTCAATGTCAGAAGTTCAGCACGATTTTTCGCTGTGGACAATTTGATGCAGACAAAGCAAATCCGCCGTAAATGAACACTGTTGGCATATGAGTGTACCACAAGTGATTGCGAGTTTTTAACTCTATAGTGCTGTACACAAAAGCTTGCACAATACATTATGGATGTTTTCAATGAAATGAGTGTTTTAAAGAAATCAAAATAAAAGATTATCGACTGAACACAAATTCACCAGACTTGAATGGTGGTGTGTAGTGGGAAAGGCAATTCTGGTCCTAACTTTTCTTGCTCGTAGCGCTATTGGTTTGGTCTGCAGAAGGGGTGCCCGTCTTACCTACCCTGACCGTCTTACCCCACTTTCCCCTAGCTGCTAAAATGTAGCTGCTAAAAATTTTAGAGATAGAGATAGAGTTTTAGAGATAAAGACAAATTGCGAGCACCGTTGTGTAGCGTTTGACCTGGAGAAAAACAGAAAAATAGTTTGGCGACCTGAGGTCAGAGGTCAGGTCAACGACCCCAAGCTGTGGTTTTAGTTTTTCGCAATAACTTCGATAAAAATGGTCCTAGAGCTACGGCAGTGGTACCATCGCATTTGCCTTGTCAAACCGCGTCGAATGCTATATATTTTGTTAGGAAAAGGTCAAGTTTTATGTTGACCTCATGTGACCTCGAATGACCTTTGGTTGACCTTGACACATGAAAGGTCGTTTATGATGGATTCGTACCCGCTGATTACGAATCTGGCATCTATGTTCTTCTAAGCCTTCATTTAGAGCCTCCGGATGGCAAGATTGTCTTATTTATTATTACTAACTTGAATCAGTGAAATAGCCTCTAGCAAGGATACTCTTCTGTGACCTTGACCTTTGAGCAGCCTTGTATCATAAGATGGAACCACAAATAGGGACCTGATAAGCCTCAAAACATTTCAAAACATCTTGGAAGTTAGCACGCAAGATGTATGAAAAAGTACGGGGACCCGCAGTTGCTACGGTACAGCGACCCTGAGTAAATTGTCCCAGCACCCACACAGGGAACAACGATAAGCTGTCAGAGGGCACGTACAGTAAACCTTAGCTGCTCTTGTACAGGGATCGGCAGTCGATATCAATGTGATTGTTATCGGTTGTTACTGGACAGGACAGAAGGTTAGACTTGAGGTTCGTGTACAGTAGCAACTGCGGGTCCCCGTACAAAGTTTGATGTCAATTTTGAGCATGACCTTGACCTTGACCTTTAATTTTGAGCACATTTTCGGAATCCTCAGATTCTCTTCTTTCGTTTGGCACCCAATTTTGCCGGTTTTATGCATCCTGCCGTCCTCTAGAACGCTTACTTTGAGATCACTGCACATGTGCCGGTTTTTGCCTTTGACCTTGACCTCTGACCTTGAATATTGACCTGAGGTCAAACATTTTAGGTGCTTTAGAATCGTCTAGTAAGGACCTTTCGTTTGGTATCGCTTTTGTTTTCGTAGCTCACTTATTTACGGAGTTAGACAGGGGGAGGGGGCGAAAAACGCCTCCCCGGGCTGCGGTGGTTGGGATTACCCCCCCCCCCCCCCGGGCCCGGCCGGGTTAAGCATCAACAGGAACGGAATCAACAGGAATTGAGCGGTGATCCGAAATCGGACAATGCGTTGTGCAAAACTGTCCAACTGTCGTTAAGTTGATGATCATTGGGCGCACGAAGTAACCCTGCAATACTTGGTTGGCTGATCCAATCGATCCGCCCCCCCCCTCCCCTCCCTCCATCCCCACCGCACACCACCACTGCTGACGGTGGGAGTCGAGTTCAGGGCGGCTCACCGCAGCGCATACCTGCAGCTAAGGTATACCGAGCACCGGGCCAGGGGGCCAAATGCCGCACTAAGATAATAACTACCTATACCATACAACATCGTCCCCGTATCGCCCAACGTTACATGGAACTGCAAACAAATCATCTTCCTTCAGGCAGCAGTTAGGTTTTTTAATTGTAAACGAACCGGACTGTCTCAAGTTCCACACAGAACACCGCTATGAAAGCTTCTTAGAGAATAGACATTTGAACAGATTCACTGTACGCTCAGGGCAGGCGCTCGAAATGACCGCTCTGTTTCGGGCAGCGCTGCTCGGCACGGCGCTGGGAGTGACATGATATTCGCCGCAGCTGCTCCTCACTGGTGTTGAGGACACACTAATGCATCATATTCCTGTCCTTTACCTATATCCAGGGACAAAGGTAAAGGCCTAGAGACATCATCGATGAGAGGTGTTTGCCCGTTGGCTGTTCTCTTGTTTGAAGAAGAGGTTGATGAAGCGAAAGAGCGCTTCAAGATGCTGGAGACTGTGATGCAACATTATACCAGCTTGAACAACGAAACAAATTCCAATCCAGACGTATTAGAAAACAGAATCACATCAACAAAATCATAAGCAAGGTTTATAATTGTTAGGATATTGTAGCAAAAGTGTAGTAGTAGGTATATTAGCCGTACTTCGACTACAGGCTTCATTGAAATAATGAAATATTCATTGCATCCCGGAACGGCAGTGCACTGCACACTGCACACACTGACAGACACGGTACAGCCAAGACTGCATCGGTTCACACGACACTAACATCAAACCGCTCGGCACCGCGCGCCGGGCCGAGCGGTGCACCCGGTACAGCGAGGCACCGCCCCCAATCCCCATGGTTTGCCCACGGCACAGTTGGCAGCGCCGCTATCGGGCCACCGCCGAACGCTCCCGATTCCGCTGCGCACCTTTGCACCCGACATTGTTCGTGCCGGCACCTCTTCCCCGAGGATGACGTTGGATTTGCACACGGTACAGCCTGGAGAAGGCAGCCGTTTATAAGCGGCGGCCGGCGGGCGGGGGCAATCAGTTCCCGAGGGTGCGCCGTGGGGTTCGGACGTCAACTGTCAGCGCTACACAGAGAGACCATGCCTCGTGACGAGTGCTGCCAAGGTAAGGAGCGGGCCCGGCGTCCGTCTGGCTCTGTGCGGCCAGCGAAATCCATCACCCCGTCTAAATGGTATATGTAGCCATGTCACGTAAAGCAGAAACAGTAAATTAATGTAACTTTTCTTTAAACATTGAACAACAGTTCACTTCGAGTTTAGTCTCGACAATTTCGTACGGCACATACAGATAGTTTTAACATAGTTCATGGAGCGTATTTGCAGCAGCGCAGCGAGCTTCCCCCCGCATAAATTTGTATAAGTAACAGACCCATTTATAAAAGAAAAGCAGCATTTAAGTTCAAGGGACGACGGAGGTGACTGAAGATTTGGTCATCGGTAACCATTCGCCAATGTCAAACGGTGACACCCCTCGGGCGGTGACCCTCCGCCTTTAAATGTCAAACGGTGACACCCCTCGGGGCGGTGATCCGTGGCCGCTGGTCGGTCTCCGGGTATCAAACGCTCACAGCCCGGGGCAGCGACCCGGGCTGTAGCAGCGGCCCTGTTTCGGCGGCGCAATCTACCTAAATCCCAGTAGCTGTCGCACGGAGGGACGCGGTCAAAACTCGCACGGAGGGACGCGGTCAAAACCAGAACGTGAACGGAGACGTCAACAGTTTATGCTGCTTCCGTCAGAAAATAAGAGAGCACAAGCAAAGTCTATTCGGAATTCAGATTCCTGTCATAATCATACACCAACTTTTCATTTTTACACCTTACTTTATGTTACCTATGTAGGTACAGGTCTCGGGGGTTTTAGCGGTAGGTTTTGCACCTAGAAAATTTAGTGTACTTCAGGCTATATCTTCGTCGTCTTAAGCATTTAAGTGTTTAAGATGCAATAGGGTTGGGACCTATCTGCATGCTCTGTATGTTTTGGTAAAATAAAAAAGCTCAGAATTTTTAATGATTTAATTTAAAATCACTTTGTTATAAAAATGCCTAGTTAGTTCAGAAATTAATTATTTGTGGCTGAAAACAACTTGCTTCTGATTGGTCGGGCTAATCATGACGTCACATGTAGGTATATAACTGTCTGTATATTTGGCGCAGTTGAGACATACATTTTCTATGTATTTTCCTATGGTAAATCGGAGTGATTGGTCGTGTTTTCAGTGTCTCTTTATTTTGCGCTGGTATTGCGTGGCTAAGAAGTTTTATCAAGAATGGCATATACTAAAATGTTCCTTTAATAATGGAGCTTCAATATCTGTGAGTTTTATTGGCAAGCGAAAACTGATTTCGCTGTTATTTTATCTGGAAATTACTCATTTTTCAGGTCAATATTCAAAATATTTTACGGGAACAAGTTGGCACTTTTCTTGATTTTTGCACTCAAATCGCGTGCGATTCAACTGTATTGGAACTTGCAAAGAAGCTTGGTGATTAATTAACTGTGTTGTTATGGCACTGTTTGCAAAGCATGGATAATGAAACTCTGCCAAAGACTTAGCTACATAGCAATGCCTCAAGTAATACGCAGGAGGGACAGAATTCAGAGTCCGATCGAGAAGAATCGGTGCAAATGCTACGAAGACCAGGCAGCTCTGATACAATAGCTAGTCGTCTCACTACTCTCACTCCATTAGACCAGCTGATTCCTGACAGCACCGACTCGGATGCAAAGATGGAGCTCATCTTCCAAGCCAGAAACCAGTTCTTTGATGGAAGATGTGATGCTGCCTCTGTCTCTGCTTTGTTGGCCACTTTGGACGGGGCGGAGCTCCGCTCCTTGCGTGAGCGGTTATTCGCCTGTCATCCAGAAATAGTTCCTTCGTTTGCTGGCCGTTCCCTGATTAGGTGCAATACGGGGAGCTGTAATCAGGGAAGTAACTTTCCATATGAAAGGGGTGCAGGTGCACCCCCGTCCCCCATCCACTAGAAGTGCACCCCCATAGGCTAAGCGGCGCCCCACACGCCGCCCCACACGATTAGCTCTAGAGCAGATGGCGAGGGTGATTTCTCGGCTACATTCCATCTCGGCGTCGTGATGCTTGTGGGCTTGGAAAGCGTCCAGTCGTATGTAGGGTAGTGTAGGGGTAGGGTTGAGTTCAATAAGGTTCTTACATTTGAAAGGTTTGAACAACCCGCAATCAGCACAACATACCACAAGTTAAATAAAAAACTACCAAACTCCGCCCAACTGAACTAATATTAATAAACATTATAGCCAAACTAATGGCCTAAATAGAAATATATCTCAAATCCTAACAGTTATCGCGGGTGATGGCGCCATGAGTTGCTATTATCCAAAACAGATGCAAATAAACATGTTTGTATGTCCTATGTATGTTTGTTTTAAAAACGTTGCTGCGGCGCTGGGAACTGCAGTCTTAAATCTGGGTATGTTTGGCATCTGCAACTCTTCATATACTCATTAACCCTATTTCGGACGGGGAGACCTTTCAGGATTTTCTTGTACAATTGCCAAACGCCGCGAGACATTCAGCTCATATTTGGTGACTTTTCCTAAATGCTCATTGCGCACATCTCAGCAAAAAAAAAAAAAATGCCGGGTCAGGTCAGGTCAGGTAACCAGAGCGGGTTTGTTGACCCCACCTCAGAAAAGTTTGCAAACACGTCAGAGCTTGAGTTTTTCACGAAGTTATTTCCTCTCAAGTTCTCAAAACAGTACCTGCAGTATGTGTCGTTTGTATATCTCAGAATTTTTTATCTGTGACCTGAGGTTAGGTCAGAGTCGTGACCTTTACATTGCAAGCCTATGGAAAAGTATTGAAATGCGACCTGCACCTCGAGTAAACGAGTCAAAACCACCCAATTCTTTAAGAATTATGACAAATTATCTTATCTGTAATGATCCAGGTGCCATTTACTGACAAGGACACCGGAGAGGGTTATCTGAGCCGAGATCATGTGAGGTGATATCTACCATACATCAATGCTCACAATACTTACAATATTGACAATGCTTTTGCTTACAACACTTACAATACTTACGATGAGACCAGCAAGCACTCTGCCGTTACAGTTCTAACTTCTGTTTCGAAAAACGACGTTACACACATTCGCTGCCAGCATAACATGTATTGTTTGACAGTAACAAAATACAATTGACATCTGAACCCCAAACGGACCGCCATCCACTCAAATTTTATAACCCTGACCGGTCAGGTGGCGAATGGAGGTCATTTCCTGGGCATTACACTCAGCCCTTGCACAAAATATCTCACCTCACAGTGATCATTACAACAATAGCACCGACTTGATAGTGGATTTCAAAGTACTTGCATCAGCTCTTCCTGCTATTGCAGACGATCATCTCCTCAGGGTACCTAATGTTGTTCGGGACATGAACGAAGATCGTTTTCGGAGTTTCATAAGTGCTACTGCAACAGCCTGGCACAAAACAGGACTTGTACGCTCTTCTCTGCACTTTGCCCTTCAGTATATCACAAAAGAATTGTTTAGAATCCATCTTACGCTTCTTTCACAGTCTCCCTTGCCACCGTAGGGCGTAGATAGATTGCTGTTGCTGGTAAGTTAAGGCACGGTAGATAGAAATTACCTCGGTTCTCAACGCCTTAAGTTATTTTCATAAAAAAGAACAAATAAATGATCAATAAGATGACAGGAATGTAAACATTTTAATCGTAAAGTAGTCCAAATATTGGAATGAGCTTTTGCTTTTCAGCATCCTCCGATTCATCATCTTTATCATTTGAAAATTCGAGGTACATAAAATGTTTATCACGCGCTCATGTTAAGTGGGAATATAGTACACGGCCGACACATCAATTTTTGACACTGAACATTTCATCCGTAAATGTTTTAGCATAATTTAAAGTTAAAAACAGCGCGAATGGCAGAGTGAAGCAAACAACAACTTTCACCCATTGATATAACATGTAATCTGTGGTGCGCCAGATGCGCCATTATTTGTCAACCGCAGAAGGTGACATGTGACGTAACAGCATCAAGATCATCTTTTTTCAAGAACTTTTCAAAACAAGTTTCCTATCTTTCTTCCCCCATTTCTCTCAGCTTATTGATTTTATGAGGCAATGGTATGCACCATAAATTCTGTGAAAATAGTTTGATCATTTTCATGCATTCTTAAAAAATCGAGTTCCCAACCCCATCGACTTGTTGGTTCACAAGCCAGCCATGATCCTGTAAAATGGTTTCATCGTAGATCGATTAGTTTCTGAGATATAACCGGAAATGTAAAAGTGCAAAACCTACCGCCTAATATCGCGACAGCCGTACTTGGTTTTGATTTACCGTCTAGCTCTGCTCTGACCAGCTCCGAGCTAGAAAATAGCTCATGATTTTTCATGCTTGTCTTCGTCTTGTGCCTTGTCAAAAACAATGTCTTTCCATCGACGCTATTCAGGGCAAAATTTAGGCATATCACCCAAAGCAGAGGCACCTTCTTCACAACTGAAATCTTGTTTTGAGCTAAGGTATGTGCTATGGAATTCGAGTCCAATTCCCAGTTTGATCAACAGCAAAGACAGCAAATCCACAATCGTTCCATTCTGAAAGAGGTCCTTTCTTTCAGGCGGCAAGGGCTGCTGTGCTGGTGCCTGCAACTGCTGCTCCCAGGGCAAGTGCTGCGACTCCAACGACTGCTGCAAGGGCGGAAAGTGCACGTGTAAAGACTGCAAGTGCACTCCTGACAACAACTGCGGATGCTGCTGCAACGGCAAATGCTGCGACGCCGGCGACTGTTGCAAGGGCGGAAAGTGCACGTGCAAAGACTGCGAGTGCACTCCTGCCACCAACTGCGGATGCTGCTGCAACGGCAAATGCTGCGACTCCGGCGACTGCTGCAAGGGCGGAAAGTGCACGTGCAAAGACTGTAAGTGCACTCCTGACAAAAACTGCGGATGCTGCTGCAACGGCAAATGCTGCGACGCCGGCGGCTGCTGCAAGGGCGGAAAGTGCACGTGCAAGGACTGCAAGTGCACTCCTGACAACAACTGCGGATGCTGCGACTCCGGCGACTGCTGCAAGGGCGGAAAGTGCACGTGCAAGGACTGCAAGTGCACTCCTGCCAACAACTGCGGATGCTGCTGCAACGGCAAATGCTGCGACGCCGGCGACTGCTGCAAGGGCGGAAAGTGCACGTGCAAAGACTGCAAGTGCACTCCTGACAACAACTGCGGATGCTGCTGCAACGGCAAATGCTGCGACTCCGGCGACTGCTGCAAGGGCGGAAAGTGCACGTGCAAGGACTGCAAGTGCACTCCTGCCAACAACTGCGGATGCTGCTGCAATGGCAAATGCTGCAATGCCGGCGACTGCTGCGAGGGCGGAAAGTGCACGTGCAAAGACTGCAAGTGCACTCCTGCCAACAACTGCGGATGCTGCTGCAATGGCAAATGCTGCAATGCCGGCGACTGCTGCACGGGCGGAAAGTGCACGTGCAAAGACTGCAAGTGCACTCCTGCCAACAACTGCGGATGCTGCTGCAACGGCAAATGCTGCGACGCCGGCGACTGCTGCAAGGACGGAAAGTGCACGTGCAAAGACTGCAAGTGCACTCCTGACAAAAACTGCGGATGCTGCTGTAATGGCAAATGCTGCAACTCCGGCGACTGCTGCAAGGGCGGAAAGTGCACGTGCAAAGACTGCAAGTGCACTCCTGACAACAACTGCGGATGTTGCGACTCCAGCGACTGCTGCAAGGGCGGAAAGTGCGCTTGCAAAGACTGCAAGTGCACTCCTGCCAAAAACTGCGGATGCTGCTGCAATGGCAAATGCTGCAATTCCGGCGACTGCTGCAGCGGTGGAAAGTGCACGTGCAAAGACTGCAAGTGCTCTCCTGACAACAACTGCGGTTGCTGCTGCAACGGCAAATGCTGCGACTCCGGCGACTGCTGCAAGGGCGGAAAGTGCACGTGCAAAGACTGCAAGTGCACTCCCGACAACAACTGCGGATGCTGCTGCAACGGCAAATGCTGCGACGCCGGCGACTGCTGCAAGGGCGGAAAGTGCACGTGCAAAGACTGCAAGTGCACTCCTGACAACAACTGCGGATGCTGCTGCAATGGCAAATGCTGCAATGCCGGCGACTGCTGCAAGGGCGGAAAGTGCACGTGCAAAGACTGCAAGTGCACTCCTGCCAACAACTGCGGATGCTGCTGCAACGGCAAATGCTGCGACGCCGGCGACTGCTGCAAGGGCGGAAAGTGCACGTGCAAAGACTGCAAGTGCACTCCTGACAACAACTGCGGATGCTGCTGCAACGGCAAATGCTGCGACTCCGGCGACTGCTGCAAGGGCGGAAAGTGCACGTGCAAGGACTGCAAGTGCACTCCTGACAACAACTGCGGATGCTGCTGCAACGGCAAATGCTGCGACTCCGGCGACTGCTGCAAGGGCGGAAAGTGCACGTGCAAGGACTGCAAGTGCACTCCTGACAAAAACTGCGGATGCTGCTGCAACGGCAAATGCTGCGACGCCGGCGACTGCTGCACGGGCGGAAAGTGCACGTGCAAGGACTGCAAGTGCACTCCTGCCAACAACTGCGGATGCTGCTGCAATGGCAAATGCTGCAATGCCGGCGACTGCTGCAAGGGCGGAAAGTGCATGTGCAAAGACTGCAAGTGCACTCCTGCCAACAACTGCGGATGCTGCTGCAACGGCAAATGCTGCGACGCCGGCGACTGCTGCAAGGGCGGAAAGTGCACGTGCAAAGACTGCAAGTGCACTCCTGACAACAACTGCGGATGCTGCTGCAACGGCAAATGCTGCGACTCCGGCGACTGCTGCAAGGGCGGAAAGTGCACGTGCAAAGACTGCAAGTGCACTCCTGACAACAACTGCGGATGCTGCTGCAACGGCAAATGCTGCGACACCGGCGACTGCTGCAAGGGCGGAAAGTGCACGTGCAAGGACTGCAAGTGCACTCCTGACAACAACTGCGGATGCTGCGACTCCGGCGACTGCTGCAAGGGCGGAAAGTGCACATGCAAAGACTGCAAGTGCACTCCTGCCAACAACTGCGGATGCTGCTGCAATGGCAAATGCTGCAATGCCGGCGACTGCTGCAAGGGCGGAAAGTGCACGTGCAAGGACTGTAAGTGCACGTGTGTCGACCGCGAGAGCCCTTCGGGTGACAGTGGCAGTGCCGATGACGGCGGCTACGGCTGCAGCTGCGTGTGAGCGCACTGAGCGGAATCCGCGCGGCGAACCACTGCGGACGCCGGCGGACGCGGACGGCTGTGAGCGGAACCGGAGGCGCTGGCCAGCTCCGGTCGCCAGTGGCGGAGGCGCGTGAGAAGCGCACCTCCGTGCTGCTGTGTTCAGGATTAACCCCGGAGTTTGGATTGCTCACAGTACCTCGCAGTTGAACTGCCCTAGGAGATAGATCGCACCCGATTAGAGTCTGGTCACAATCGGAGCGGCGTTATATTTTTATAGCTCGGCCGCCCCCCAATCACAATGCAGCTGAAATGTGAGGGCCGTTTTGTGTATATTGCCAACAGTACTGTATGCCAGCGTGTACGCTTGCCAAATATTACTCGCATGTTGTGGGGGCTTTGGAAGCCCTATTGTGTCGGAGCATATCAGTCGTTTGCGGGTTTAAACGTCTCAACCTGGTGCGCCCGTTAGTATAGACGGGTGAGCGGCTGTTTCGTGTCGGAAGCCATGACAGAGACTGTCCTTGTTGGGCTTGAGAGCCCTCAATTATTATATACTTGTCATATATGTACGGTTTGTCAATAAATGTTGGAAAAATATACCACACCGTCTGTTAACACGCGCCTTGCTGGGGGTGTTTGAACACCCACCCCTGCGGTTTTTCACGAATATCGTTTTGTTTTTGGCACACCTTATCATACAACTTTTCTACATATGTTGTTCGGACCAAGGTCGCTTAAGGTCAGGTCAGGTCACCAGGTCAGGCCAAGTGACCTCACTGCATACAAAGTTTCAATGTCTGCCATATCTACACCGAGTGACCGATCGCTTTGAAAATTTCAGTGATTGATAAGAGCAGCAGTATGTACAAAATTAATATCTTGGAATTTTGATATCGGTGAACTAAGGTCAGGTCAATTTTGCGACCTCCCCATTATAAGAAGAAAAATGAAAGTCGCCTCTTTTAGACGAAAGCAATTATAAACACTCTAAAACACTGAATTAGTAGTGTCTTTGACACACTAAACATGAAAAGGGCACCCGTGACCCCTTTTTATGACCCCGAGGTCATCTCAGGTCACCAATGATATCTGACAGTTTTTGGCGAATAACTTTTGATAGAGGCATACTAGAGCGATGAAAACACCTTAGTTATGTTTGGCTCGACGATACAGATCGACTGATATGCAACTTGATCCTTACCGGTCAGGTTATGACCTTGACCTGAGGTCAAATTTTCAAGTTGACCTTTCAAGATCAAGTGATACTTAAATCAACGCGTCTTCACGAGAGGAACACGATGCTGGTAAAACAAAGTTCGTGCAAGGTTTGAGTCAAAAGTTATTGCAGAAAAACTGTTTCCGAAAAAATCGCCTATTTTGGCAGTTGCCCCTGCAGGCAAAACCGTTGACAGTAGGTCAAATCGAGGGAATTACTCAGATAGATCGTTAATAGAGCTAGCAAATGCGCCTTTTCGTGGCGCTGTAGCTTTATTACGTTCCGAGCTGTGCGTCGATTTGTTAAAAATTGTTGAAATCTGACTTACAAATCGGCGAATTTTGGCCTTCAATGACCTCTGGTGACCTGACCTTTAACCTGACCAAAAAACGAAGTGATTTTTTCCTTACTTTTGACGCCTTTTCGAACGCCACCTTTCTCGTATCGTTACGTGGCCCAGGAGACAGGCCCAGCATGGCGTGGAAATCTAGGACCCCCAGCGGGGCGCGGGTTAACTAACGACCAAAGATAAAGATGCAAAAGCCAGATGGCATGCTGGTCCATTGCTCAAACGTCACTATGATTCACAATAATGATCGTAAAAACCACTAGACCGTGTTGAAAAGTCTGAAAATATGGGCATCCGTTTATTCAAATGCACACGGCACACAGTTCGGAAAAGGGTATAGACGAGCATGCGACTAAAATGATATGAAGCATTACAAACGAGTGAAAAACTAGGCATACCCTGCTATTGTTCACAATCGGAATAGGCAATGACAGAAGCAGCTGCACCACAGACAGCAACACAACAAGAGCGGCTGACTGGCCTAAGTGGAACGATGAGAGCCAGCAAGGAACGCAGCGGATAAACGTGAGCACGACTGTAAAATATCGCCTCGAGCGACTTCGAGGGAATCATTCTGAATGAATAAAATGGGTTATAACTAGAGATGTCAAACGGATACCAACTTTTTGGTATACCGACACCAAACCGATACCAACTTGCTTTTTGGTATTTTAATCCTAACGTGTTTGGTATTTTGTTGGTATTATGAAATCTCACTAATGTACCTATAAGATGCCGAGGAATTGGTAAAAAAGTTGGTATTTTCCTCATGTTCCCAAGTTGGTTCGGTTTCGGTATTTCCTCACGATTTTGATTGGTGTTTGGTTTGGTATCGGTATTCCGATTTTCTGTAATTGACATCACTAGTTATAACAGACTCCAAAGATGTTCCATTGTTAGGTGACTATCTTATATGCTTCGTCGAGCATTTAATCTTTTTTAAAGCAATAATACGGATCGCCTGCCAAACCTAGACCGGACGGGTCAACGTCTGTCTTGGGCCGGCGATGAGCCAAGCAGCTCTGAGGTATACCTGCCGCCACGGTACACGACTGCCACCTGGTGGTCAGCCACCGAGGCTCCGGCTCAGCGGCCGGTCACTGCTGCCCTCTAGTGGCTAAACTGGGCGACTGATCACCTGCAGAGCTACGTCTAACGGGCGGCTCAATTTCGAGGTTCACTTTCCTAGACCAAGGACGGGTGATATTGTGGTATTGGGACCTTGGAAAAAAAGGTTCCACTAGACCCGTGAACAAATGAATCAGAGACGGTGCGTCGGTGCATGCAGGAGCCCTCCCTCACGGTCCCGGCAGAAGTGGCCCCCGGGCCCCGGGACTCACTGAGGTCGGCAGAAGTGGCCCCCGGGACTCACTGAGGTCGGCAGAAGTGGCCCCCGGGCCCCGGGACTCACTGAGGTCGGCAGAAGTGGCCCCCGGGCCCCGGGACTCACTTAGGTCGGCGAGAGCGAAGACGATGTTCAGCACGGCTTTCTGCACGTTGTACTGCGTCTTCTTCTCCAGCTTGTGGCGCGGCTGCAGCAGCGGCAGCAGGCGCGGGATCACGTTCTCCTTCAGCAGTCGCCGACGGTTCATTCCTGAAGACACAGAGGCAGCGGCGGCGGTGAAATGATGAAAGGGTCGTGAAAAGAAGGGATGCAGCTCTGTTGGAGGTAAAAAAACATAAAATGACCCCAGAAAGACGTCCTCTTTCTAATCGCCTCTAGATTGCATTGCGCTGCTACAAGTTTTTTTATCATAAGAAATGGTTCGGTGCTAATGCCATAAGGACCATTCATATTTTTTAATCCCAGAATGACTGACAGAACACAAAAGAAGCAGCTGCAAGAAAGTTCGGTGTGATGCAATAAGGTAGCGTAACGGCATACCTCCATATGCCCATGATACTGAAAACGACATCTAAGCTATGGTCTTATTAACGAGGTAAAAAAAAAACACACACACACACACACACACATTCATAGCGATCCAAGAATAAATGACTCAGTTCCGTGCGCCGCCCGTAGCCACCTCTATGACTCTCTGAACAAAAGTCGGTCTGTCAGCCCCCCCCCCCCCCCCTTCCACTGGGCGTGGTCGTTTACTCTACAGAGCATCAGTCCCCTCCCGCTCTCTCCAGGCTGGGGATAGACGTGACCCACCACTGCAGGGCGGGGGGAGGAGGGAGTGGGAGAGGGAGGGGTCACGACTTGGATTGGTCCTGGATCCAGTCCAGCCGGCCAGGTGGTGGTGGTGGGGGGGGGGGGGGGGGACAGTCAACACTGCAGCCGACTGTTTGCCCCTCACACCGGCCCCGAGTGGGCCCACACTGCGAATGGCTCTGATGATGGGTTTGTGGCTCTGTCCGCGGTAGCGGAGGTTGACGTTGGAGACCGGATGTTATGGTGTGTCCCGCTTCTCACTAAAGTAAAGTTCACGACTGAGAGTAGTGAGGGATGGAGACAAGAGTAAAACAAACAGAGCTTTAACAGAACGGTCCACAAACGATACAGGAGTCAGTATCTTGACAGACGACATATTGTCATGGTTATCTCCTTAGTTAGTTCCCTGTCGGTACATCAAGCACGTAACAGAGCAGAGTATGACATATACGAGCACACATTGTCCATGAAAAACAGCAACGACACCTCCGCAACACTTGGTGGTAGACACACAACAGCACACTGAAACACTCCGCAATAAATAACATCACAGCAATTACTAATGAGAACACCTGCTCGGTCAATCACGCATATAAACGCGGGGTCCTGGCACTCTCACAGTCGCCGCGCTAAATTCATCCGACAGGCCACTGTTTCTGCAGCGGCTCGTAAATAATTAACCAGCCCACCGGATCAGACACACAACGCCCGGTGAGGGCGGCGAGTGGGAGTTATAACTCGGGACGTAACTCACCAGACTCGGGACGTAACACGCCAGACTCGGGACCTAACTCACCAGACTCGGGACGTAACTCACCAGCTCGGGACGTAACTCACCAGACTCGGGACATAACTCACCAGACTCGGGACGTAACTCACCAGACTCGGGACGTTACTCACCAGCCGGCCACAACCGGTGGTCGAGTAAACACGATGGTAATTGGCGAGAGGTGTCCGAGGCAGACGGCTCAGATCCCTCCGCTCCCTCCCCACACTTCCGACTTCCCGGAGGGAGGGAGGGTGGGATCGTGACTGGACAAAACCAGCTACCTCACAGACAGCGGCAGCTGCAATCCCTCCCCTTCCACGCCTCCCCAGCAGGTCTGACTCGGCACAGCCGCTCGATACCGGGTACCACCGCCACCGGCTACTGTCGGTCAAACTCCTCCCAAACTCTCCACTCCGGTCCACTCACTATTTCTGATGAGTCGCGCCGTGCACTCTAGCGTCAGCTGCTGTTTGAGTCCGGACATGTTCCAGAGGTGGGGCACCAGGCGACAGAGGTGTTCTACCGCTTCACCGCGGCCCAAGACAGAGACGTTCTGGTCTGTGGGGCGACCGAGGGCGGGCGTCAGAAAGATCGATGTTTGAGAGCGGAGACGAGAGTCAGTTCCAGCTCGAGCGGGTGTGTTGCTCATATTAAGAAAAAAGGTTTAGAAATAAAACATGCGTGTTAACCGTCGTTACTTGTCGTTGATCGTCGTCGTTACTCCGAAAATAATCATTAAGTCAACGTAACGGAGCAAAAGCGTATTTCACTAAGAGTGATCCACTTTTTCAGCATGAAAGTGATACATAACATTAAACGGACCGGCGCAGCGTCACAATGTGCAGCTTCGTCATACAGCTGAACGGACACCCTTCAATCAGCGCCAACGGATAAATGAGCTCTCAGACAGCAGTTCAGCCGAGCGATATCCGACCCCAGCGCTTCCCTAATCCCCTCTCACCGTTTCCGGCGGCCAGTTTGACGCACTGCAGTGCCGGGACGCAGATGCGGCACTTTTGGGCGTTATCCTGGAGCCGGCGGAGCAGCACCTTCAGACCGCCGCACAGACGGAGACGGACCGCAAACCGTGGGTCTGTGAAATAGCACAACAACATCAGAGCCAGTCAGCGCCGCACACGGACGTCGGACAGCGAACCGCGGGTCTGCGGTACATTCAGGAGCGGGTCAGAGCAACACCAGGGGCAGGGATGGACGGGAGACCGCAGGTCTGCGACGGCTAAAGGTTATATCAGAGGCAGGGAAATGATTAGGGCTAGAGAGCTGTTCAGAAAAAAAAAACAATAAACAAGAGGGGAGACCGAAAAAGCATGAAAGCAGAGAGTAGACGGACTATGCAAATGGACTAACCACACTCGGCAAGGTGGGCGGGTTGGGACCATGTAAATACAAGAGATCCGCAGTGATATGCAAGGCAGCCTGGCTTTGCAGTCCATATTGCGCGACAAAGAGATGATTCAATCCAGAAGCATGACAATCGAGACGCTTCAAGGCATTCGAGCTGACGATAAATGATGACTAATAAACGATCCGTCTGTCACATAAGGTGCAGTTATATGTTTCGCGACTGACGTCTATTGCCCACTGTGTCTTCCCTGTCTGCTGTGTTTGACAGGAGTCGTTCAATACGTCTCCATCTAACGTTCGGAGCGGCCATAAACCCTCCGAGTCAGTCGAGCGGGCTGGATCGAGAGGGTCGGGGCGGACTCACCCTTTTTCCCGATCTTGTAGAGTATTGTGTAGAGCGCGGTGACGGTCTGGTACTGTTGGCTGGCCGGGCCCAGCGAACGGAGGGAGGCCACCACCACCTCCGTGCCGCCCGAGTCCGTCAGACGACGGCACACCTCTGCTGAGCATTCTGAGAGAGGAGAGGAGAGTCAGACGACGGCACACCTCTCCCGAACACTCTGAGGGAGAAGAGGGGTGGGTCAAGACACGTGCCTCTCCCGAACACTCTGCGAGATGGAAACTGTTGATCAAAATCGTGGGGTCAAGAATAATCATTTAAACCTGAACCTCGGAGCTAAATGACTCGGATAAGTGCAAACATGAAACAGCTGATGCTTTGTTAGACAGAGTTCGTCCATCCACCACGCAGAGCACCATTCAGGCAACCCACATAACCCTCATAAGGACGGCCGACCTCGGCCGCTGCTGGCACCAGGGCGGGGCCTATTTCACACTCAGCCTCACTGCCCACACACCAGCCAAACGCGTGCCTAAAGAGCGCCGATAGCGCGTAGCCAGGGCACGGGGAGGGGGGGGGGGGCTGACGTCAGCCCGGACCTGTTAACTCCAGGCCGGCGGGAGGCGGGACGGGTCGAGGTCTGCTGAGTGTGCCAGCCAGGTGTGAGGGCCGTATCGCACCGTCACGGCTCAGCAGAACTGACACACACCAACCCAAAGATTACTTTACTACTCCACCAGTATAACGCCTTTTGGGGCGACTAACGGAGCGAGCGAGAGGGTGACCCTTGCACGTGCGAAATTTCGAGGGGGTACCTCCAGTTGACTTGTGCACGGCACCCTACTTACCGGTCTCTAGCGATGTGCCGAATTTGAGCACAATCGGCCCAGCCGTTCTCGAGATCTGGAAGCGGCACCCTGCACGTGCGCACGTGCAAAATGGGTCCCAACTGACTTTTGCACGGCACCCTACTAACCGGTCCCTAACCATGTACCAAATTTTAGCGCCATCGGTCCAGCCGTTCTCGAGATCTGGAATCGACCCCTGCACGTGCGCACGTGCAGCAGCACCCCAACTCTGGCACATGGATATGCATTGCCTAGTGGGTGCCTACCTACATGCCAACTTTCAGCGCAATCGGCCAAGTAGTTACGGAGATAGTGCAACAATTACAAAAGTGACACCTCTTCGTTTTGCACGTGGCACGTGCATAAGGGGTCACCCACATGCATCGGGAATAGTCCAATACTTGGTAGAAGGAATGAAGCTACCCTACAAAAATTACCGCGTGTAAATCGGTCAAGTGGTTGCTGAGATATAAGCCTCGCAAAAGCGTGACCACGGCCGGCCGGCCGGCCGCTCATACTCAGAAATTTCCGTTAATATAAGGAAAGACTACGCTCGCTTCGCTCGCTCCGTAACCAGCTCTGCCGGCTCTCAACAACACCCACATCCGAGCGCGACGCCAGGAGAGTAGAGCGGACGATCAGAGACCACCTGTTCTGCTAGCTTCAACAACAAACCGCGAACGGCAGGAGTTCTAAGCTGGGGATTTATCGGCCGATTCGGGGACTCGAAATTCATCGGCCGAGGTAATATTAGCTCGTTATAGCGGAGACCCGTGGTTGATGACGCTGTTACTGGTAAGGTTATGAGGACCCATCTCTCTCCACTGGGTAAACAGTGTTTTTTTTTTTCAACTTGTCGGGAGACGTCTTAACTTCAAGTGACAGTAATTTGTACTTACAGGTCAGAGCCTAAGTTAGGTTTACGGGGTAGTATCATTTCAACAGAATTAAGTTCAAACACTCAATATCGATTCAGACGGGAGCAATGCTCGGAAAGTGCGATGCAACCTACTAAACTCTTATCTCGAGCTCTCTGACGCTCTCTAGAACACCGGGGCCAGTGACACTCGCGCAGTTTAATGCTCTGAGAAGTTGCCATTTTATCGTCCCACGGAGCAGCCAGAGCCCCGGCACGCCAAGCTCGCTGTGTGTCGGTGTTTGCACACAGCTCCTCAGTAGCTGGCAGCGCCGCCCACACCGCTCGGAATCTGACCTCGCGTTAAACACTCAACACACACTTCTCCACTAATTACAGCTGGCTGTCGTCCCGGTCTCCGCCCTTCGCTCACAGCCCACCTCAGACAGATTGCAATCGTCACTCAGTGTCTTCACTCTCTGCCTCCTGATCACTACTATTAGTGTATAGTGTTAATCACGCACTTAGTGTTAACCCGCGCGGGGCTGGGGTCCCCAGCCGAACACGCGGGGCTGGGGGGGGGGGTAAATTTTACCCCCCCTGTTATCTCCCGAACTAATGGTCCGATTTGGAAAATTCAAACGCCAATCGAAAGCTCTCATCACGAACTACTAAAAACATGTACTTAATTTAAAGTTTGAGGTCAAGGTCAAGGTCAGGTCAAGGGTACAAATTGCAAGTTTCTACAGTATCGGCCTTGCACCGTAGTTGCCGAAGGATGGAGTCATGGACTGAGACTGATCGCCCAAAACGTGTTCTTAGGCTACCAAGACAATATTAGTTGCATACAATATCATTCAGAGGTCAAGGTCAAGGTCAGGTCAGGTCAGGTCAGGTCACCAAAAAACAAAATATAGAAAAGGGCATGTGCGACACATGTTTTATGGGTCATTTTACTCATAGAATTCAATAGGCACACTCAATAAGTGATATGGACCACCTCTGGATGAATTTCAGGTCGAGGTCAGGTCAAGGTCAGGTCAAGTGAGGTCAAATTTTGAAGTTGGTTGTTAAGGCCTAAAAAGGTGTCTATCTGATGCAGTTTTTCACGGCGAATCGAATGGTGCTATTTTTGTTTCCGTACGAGGTCTAGAACTTCCAAAAAAGTCATTTCTCAAAAATTTTGTGTGTCGTGACGTCATAAAATTTTGAATAACTCCCACATTTTTGAACCGATTCTTCTAAAATTTGGTATGTAGGTGCACATAGACCATTTCTCTGAAATATATTCCGGTTTTTTCGATAGACTCAAAATTTTGGATTTTATAATGATTTTCCCAAAAAAATCAGTTTTTTGAAAAAATTTAGGCCAAAATCCAAAACTTTCAAAAAACCGAGATAGCCATTTGATAGACAAAGTAAAATTACGTATAACCTTTTTTGTTACGTCTTGATTCCTTTAAAAATGAAGATGTTAGCGGCGTTTGAACTTTTGCCGTTTTTGAGGCGAAAATGGCGAACATGACGTCACTAAAACGTCAATTTCTCAAAAATTTTCCGACGGATTTCGCTCAAATTTTCAGGGAAGGTGTCAAATTGATGTAAGAAAAGGTACTGAAAGTTTGGCGGCGCTGCGCGCCGCCGTTTTTGAGATATCGCAAAAATTCGCGAGGGGGGGGGTAAAATTTACCCCCCCCAGCCCCGCGCGGGTTAATGGCCCTCCGCCCACAGACAACCACTATATTCTGTCTCAAACTGCCTGAGGTAGCGTCAAACAGGGCAAAGAATTGCTGCTACTGGATGTACTGGATGTATTATTTCATACTTAATGCTGACACATTTCAGCGGCATGTCTGCCACAGTTGCCGCGACGGATCCACGTGACATAAATAGACTCTTTTAGAACATGATGGGAAAACGTCCAGAGGTATGATCTGAAGGTGAGGCGTGCCAACTAAGAGCGTCTCCGGATAGAAGCCTCCCCAGAATGTCGTTGTCGTGGAACCCCTCTCCTGTGGTTGTTTGTGTTTCGCGGCGAAGTGGTGACGTTTTAACGACGGCGCAAAGACGGTAACGACGGTCGACCGGCGGCAAAACAGCCCGGGAGTTGGACCCCGCAGGGTCACAACTGGGTACAAGGGGGGAGGGGGGGTACAACAGAACACCGTCACCGAGCCAAGGCCGCTACTCTGCCAGCCTCCTTCGTTACGGTACATCGGTCTGAGATGCCACAGCTGAGCTGCCGCAGCTAACGGAGGAGGACCAACGTCAGGCACACGGTGTTTTAAACAAAAGGCTGGCAGCCGGCAGCCCGCTTTCTCGGCCTGTTGTGTAAGTACCGTCCAACACGGTCACCTGTTACGATAATACACACACAGCACTGGGTGAAACTGACGAGCTGAGCAGGCGCGGTGTGCGGCGGGCGCCGCGCCAGCAGATTGCATCAAACAACAACCGGAGTAAAGCGGTTCGATCCGTGGATAACCATCTCAACTTCAGGTAACTTGACAGCGATCAGTGAGGGATCAGGAGAGACCAGCAGTGCGTGCATTAGACAAAGATTAATGACGTGGGAATGGTTCTGAGTTGACACTGAACTTCAAAACAAAGGGATCAAAAATACAATACTCCACCCGCAAAAATGTAAAACACAGACAAGACGACAAATGCAAAACACACTCGCCGCAATCAAGCTCGACGAAAGGTGTCACCAAGCGGTTCTCACCTTTGTCTTTGAGACACTCGGCGAGCACGTTGGTGAGATGGACTAGACTCTGTGTGTCTGAGACACCCTGAAACAGACAAGACGTCAAGAGAGAACACATCACCGTCAGCAGAAAAGGCAGTACCCACTGGAGAGTCAACAGAGAACATAGTGAAGTGTGAACTCAGAAACACAGTTCACCGAACACAGACTACCCGGTCAGCACAAGACAGAGCACACCGCTGTCCGATTCTGACGGACAGGCTGCATCAGCGCGGCGGTCAGAACACCGCTGTTGATGAGGCTGTTTGTCACTTCCATCAACACCACAGGGGCTGGTGTTAGGGATCCGTCTGACGTCTCACTAAATACCGCGCTGAAAGACGAACGCTAACGGGAGATAATAAAGGGACGTAATAGCACCCTGGACGACAGAGTAGCTCGTGGGGAGAGATCCTCACGGCAAATGTTCAGCAAGGGAGTAAGTAGCTTGGCACAGAGCGGCATCTTCCTAAATATTCAGCAAAATTATTTCACAAGAAAACATTTCTTTTATTATTTTCCGGTGCTGGCTTGCGTTTTGTTATCAAAATAATTTGCTTGAATGTAGGTACACATTATGTTAAAATTATCTCCGCTTGCTCGGGTTTCATCAGCAGGCAAAATGTTATGATTCTGAATACAATTATAGTTCACAGTTGATTTAACCGCATTTTCTGCAAATAATTGCATTGATCACTACAAGACAACACCAGACGCAAACGATTCGCACCCCGGAACATCAACAATTTTCAGTGAATCACCGGTTCTAATGTTACAAACATCTGTACAACAGTAGTCAAACGATATAAACCACCTGTGAGAATTGTGTCCATGACACTGCTCCATGCCAACGGCCCCCAGCCAAAAACAACAACCACCAGCGACCGATATCGATCACCTGTGCCCGGCGATAAATTTGTCTTTCGATAGGTGCGACCGCCCTGGACCTCCAGGCGGTCTACCGACCCAGCTGAAGGTACCGAAGGAGGGAGGTAGGGCTGCTCTGTGATTTACCGGCCCGCCGACCCGATCCACTGGCCCGGCTCCACGGCAAACAGAGGAGACAGTTTGTCGCTGGATGTGCCCGGTCATCCATCACATCCCACGGGAGGTCGGTGAGTCCACAGCCTGGCGGCCGATCACAGGCGACTGTCGACAGTCTATGACCCACCCCCGGGGGGAGGGGGGGGGGGGGTCGTCCCCCGGCCGTCCCGCCCTGCTGAGCGGCCTACCGACCGACTGACGGCGGCCGTGTAACAAAGGACCGCCAGCCAGTCTGTCGGCTCTGGGTGACGTACTCAGACAGTCCGCCCGCCGCCCACCGCCCGCCGCTCGCCGCCCACCGCCCGGGAGCGCGGAGCCAACACAAACCGGGGCGGGCGCTCGGCCGTCCGCCCCCAGCGGCGTCGGTCCGGACGGTAACAGCCCGCCGACAGACCCCGCTGCCAGTGGCGGCAGCGGAGGAAACATGGACGGACGGGAGGGAGGGAGGGACAGGACCGGAAACAGGCAAACAGCTGGGCTGTGGCACGGCACGGACCCAAAACACGGCGCCAGTGATGGACTGAGCGAAAACATAACAACTGAGGAAGCTCAAAATGAGCCTACGTGTCTGCATCGCTAGGTGAGATGTTTTGACAGGATAAATCCCACAGCTGTTCGTAGCACGTTCGATGTCTAAAAAAGTGCAGTCCGCTGAGGCGATACCAATCAGACCCCGGTGTCTCTACAGTCGGCCCGGGGTGGTGCCAACTGACACCGTCGGGCAGATGGACCCATCACGGCGCCGTCGGTCCCTGTCACTGCCTCTGGTGACGCCGCAGTTGAATGACCTCTGACCCGGGGAGGGAGTGACACTGACTGAATGGTGTGAACATGTCAGACTCATCCAGTGATACAGAGGCGACGCGTGAGTATCTGTGAGTCGTGACAGTCAGCTCACAAATAACAGATCGGTCGAAATTTCAGACACGCAAAGAATCAGGACGTTTCAAAAAGAACTAAGACTAAGTAAGTCCGCATGGTAATCACCAACATACACGTCATCCAAAAATACCACAAACGCCTTGGCAACGACACAATGTCCTACAGGCGAGCATTCCACAACTCACCCTTGTTGCTGGACCTTGACAAATCGTGCTTGTGTTTAGCACAATGAACCGACTATGGCCAAAAACTGAATGAGCTCTTGGCAGTGGCACGGCGTTGTGCTTGTGTCTGACAAACTGAACTGACCTCCATAAGTGGAGACACATAGGTGTGTGCCCCAGCGTTTTAGCCTAGACCTACATAGTGATAAGGTGGTGTTTTTGACTGACCTTCATGGTGGCGACGTAGCGCTGCACCAGATGACCGTCCCCCGCCAAGAACAGGTCACAGACTGAGCGGCAGCCCGAGCAGCCTGAAACAGATATCAGAGGTCAGTACAGCCTGAAACAGAGGTCAGAGGTCAGCACAGCCTGAAACAGAGGTCAGAGGTCAGCACAGCCTGAAACAGAGGTCAGAGGTCAGTACAGCTAGGAACAGAGGTCAGAGGCCAGCACAACCAGGAACAGGTCACACACTGACCGGCAGCCCGAACAGCCTGAAACAGAGGTCAGAGGTCAGTACAGCCTGAAACAGAGGTCAGAGGTCAGCACAGCCAAGAACAGGTCACAGACTGAACGGCAGCCCGAGCAACCTAAAACGGTGAGAGGGAAAGAGGTCAGCACAGACTGCAATGGATAGAGGGAGGTCAAAGATCAGGATAGCCTTTAATAGAGAGAAGGCACCTACCTAATAGATCCTCCGGACGAAGAGAGGTCAGGTTACATCAGGACAGAAAAAAGGAAACAGTCTTTTACATCATTTGGCCAACGCAATAAAGGCAATAGGCAATATCCAATGTTGATTCCAATGGAGTATAAGGAACCGAAAGCGACTAAACGTAAGAAGAAAACGAAAGTAAACCAAAGTAGGTAGTAAACCACAGACCACTGGCGGCCACCCGGAGCCGCGGCGCCGGACCACACTGACGTCAGTCACAATAGTCGGTCATATGACGTCACAGCCGTCATCCCTGTATTTATGACGTCACGGGGCGGCGTGCCGTCGGCGGAACACGACGACACATCACTGTCGGCGGCGGACGGTGACAGATTCCACTCCACCGGCCGGCCTCAGCGGCCTGCTCACCTCCACCCGGAGACAAAGGGGTGGCACCGTCTCCCTGACGGGAACCGAGGGCTCGAGCGTTGAAAGACACTCCGCTTAAAGTCGACCTTCATTGACTTTTTCGTGCAAGCCTAGGGATAAGGGCATTTCATAGTCGGTAGTTAATGTGCATTTTGCAAGAAACCCTTTAAAGAATCAGCTCAATGATTTGAACTTCTGTATCTTCGTTGTTAATTTGCCATTTGATGCAATCCAAAGCCCCGTTTGTTGAATGTAGCACCGCGCAGCGACAGCCACATCGGAGTGGTTGCATGTGTCGCGTGACCGTCCCAGACGGCGCCGTCGAGTACCTACGACAGCTTATTTGGGAGCTCTCAGAACCGCGGCTCATAAGTCCGTCGTTATGTGTTAGCTCCATCCACCGTCTTAGAAATTGTGCCCAGCTGCTCCAACTTTCATCAGCATGGGAGCGAGGAAGCCACTCAGACGCATAACACGGATCATTTTCATTAAAACCTCAAACGAACAGAAAGTCTGACCTCCCGCTCTGACAAGGTCAAGGCAGCACCAGCCATCAACAGCATCGAACAGTCCCTCCTCCACCCGTACCCGTTTGGAGCTCTTCCCTTCCCGGTCCGCCGTCTCTCCTACTCCCGTTTCCCTTGTTACGTCACACGCGTGTCCAACTTCTGGCACCGGTGACCGCCCCGGTGACCACCGCCGGCATTGTGCGTCCACTCGTCTGTCGTCTGGCAGCCCGGTCGGGGGGGGGGGGCACAGGGGGCAGAGGGGGACACGGGGCACCGAGGTCAGAATGCGAGGCGCGCGGCCCGCCCGCTCGGCGGGGAACAGAGGGGCTGCCGACCGACCGTAACCAACTGACGGGTATCGCCAGGGCCGGGCTTTGACAGCCGGGACTGAGGGCGGCTACTGACACTGGTTTGAACTGGTTTGGGTTCAATAGGGTTGGCAAGAGCTCGGAACTGATTTCAAGTGTTATTGACAAATGACAGTCGTTTACAATTCGGCTGTAAAATTTTGATTTGTGTACGCGCCGTGAAAAATATAGCTTCGCTCGTGGAACGTTAGTGCCTATATGAAATATTTTATGTTCCATGACGTTGATTCAAAAGGCTGTTATAGTATAAAGAATAAACGGGGAAATTATATCCTTCTCAATGCGTAGTTACCGGCACAAAATTCAACAAAAATTGGCTCACGCGGGTAACCCTAAATATTCATTTGAGTAGGATTTGGCGTTATTTGAAACGCTCAGTTTTTGCAGCGAGCTTTTCCTGTTAGGGCCTGTGAGATAGCCGCGGAAACACATATCTCTTCAGCATTGACGACGACACAGGAATGCGGTTGAATTCACGCGCTGTAATGAGCGATGGTACCGCCGATTCCGGAGAGACGGTATTCGCTGCCGGTCGGCCGGCCGACGGCTGTGAAAAATACAACGGCCGGCGGCAGCGTGTGCTATGTGCCTGCACATGTGATGTGCGTAATACAATGAATGAATCATGAAATCGACTATTTTTTTCTCAATACACGCTCTGCCGAGATACACGAGTGTTTTATGCCGATCGCCTCCCGTTTGCACCTTCCGTGACGGCCCGTCTGCTCTGCCGCGGCCCGTACTATATCGGCAATAAATCATGAAATCGTCTATTTTTCTCAATACACGCTGCTGCCGAGAAACACGAGTGTTTTATGCCGATCGCCTCCCGTCTGCACCTTCCGTGACGGCCCGTCTGCTCTGCCGCGGCCCGTAGAGCCGTCAATCACCGCCGGCCCGCGTCGATTGGCAGTATTTCAGGACCGGGCGAGCCCGGACTCGCCAGCAATCCAGGTTTGTTGGGGCCGACAGAGTGTGGAATTGACGGAGGGACGGTTAAAAAACATGATACAAATAATAGGTAAAACGTTTCGGAAGTAGGACACAAAAATCTAATCGTATAATTTCCGTCAGACCCGCGTTCGACAATTGTTTGCTCCAGCTGCCGAGAGCATACCGTCGTCACTATAGTTGCACAACACAATAAGATAGAGGGATTGCATAAAAAGATGGAGTTTGGCTCTAAAAAGGTAGAAAAATATTGCAAGTGTTTCTGTCTAAACAAAGTACTTATGAACTCTTTCAAATAGATATTTCCTTCAATGCACCTAATATTCAACACTAAATCGGCCGTTGTGTTTGACACGGGTGAGCCCGGATGGCGGATGCGCGATAGTGATTTAGATAAATATTTTGAATTTGAAGGGTGTTACGGACTACACATAATTGCTAATTGACTTTGAGAACTGCTGTTGATTACTGGGATGATTCTGAAAGATGGTTTTGGTGTGTAAAGGCTTATTTGCTACGAAATGCAAGTGACGCGGCTTACGTGGCGCATGCATGCTGTTTTTTAATGTTCGTAATATCAATATTTTGCTTCCATCAATTTAAAGAAGTTAAGTTTTGGCCTGTATCTATTAGCCTGCTGTTGAAATCATTTTATCCTGCAATCTATTTTGTTAGAAAAGCTGATAAAATATGGTGAAACGTGTATTAAAGTGCTGTTGAAATCATTTTATCCTGCAATTTATTTTCTTAGAAAAGCTGATGTAATACGGTGAAATGTGCGGAACTTGGAAAGCCGATGGAAGTCGCCTTCTGAACCCGGCTATCTGTTCCTGATTGTATGATTTTCTCCGAAGAGCTAATTTAGGGCTACCTGTTTTTTTTTTGCTTTCTCTGCAAAAGTTTTTTTCTGTTAGATGATAGACAATTTAATTCTCTCTTAGTCAGTCATCAGTTGATATAGAAGCTGGACCTAATTTAAATTTGCAGAACCTAACCTGAGCCAGTCATCAGTTGATATAGAAGCTGGACCTAATTTAAATTTGGGCCCAACGGGTGGTCGGGTGAAAGTCATAAATGTTTTACTTTTGTGTAAAAAGTATGGCAAGAAGTGTCAATGTGTGATGTCATTTTTCAAGCTTAGAAGGATGTGTTTTTCTTTCATGTTTTATTCTGTGAAGTTCTTCAGTTTCTACATTGTGGATGGTGGTAAAGGCAGTTACAGCCGCAGCTGTCAGCTGATTGTATGATTTTCTTTGAAGGGCTAAGTTAGGGCTATCTGTTCCTGATTGTATGATTTTCTCCAAAGAGCTAATTTAGGGCTACCTGTTTTTTTTTTTTGCTTTCTCTGCAAAAGTTTTTTTTTTCTGTTAGATGATAGACAATTTAATTCTCTCCAGCCAGTCATCAGTTGATATAGAAGCTGGACCTAATTTGAATTTGCAGAACCTAACCTGCCTTGACCAAATCCTACCTAACGTAGCCCAAACTTACCTCACTCAGAGGTTATCAGGTTGGTACGGGAAATTATGTGTAAAATTTATTGTAAATGTATTGCTGATTGTATGATTTTCTTTGAAGGGCTAAGTTAGGGCTATCTGTTCCTGATTGTATGATTTTCTCCGAAGAGCTAATTTAGGGCTACCTGTTTTTTTGTTTTGCTTCCTCTGCAAAAGTTTGTTTTTTTCTGTTAGACGATAGATAATTTAATTCTCTCCAGCCAGTCATCAGTTAATATAGAAGCTGGACCTAATTTAAATTTGCAGAACCTAACCTGAGCCAGTCATCAGTTGATATAGAAGCTGATGATAGACAATTTAATTCTCTCCAGTCAGTCATCAGTTGATATAGAAGCTGGACCTAATTTAAATTTGCAGAACCTAACCTGAGCCAGTCATCAGTTGATATAGAAGCTGGACCTAATTTAAATTTGGGCCCAGCGGGTGGTCGGGTGAAAGTCATAAATGTTTTACTTTTGTGTAAAAAGTATGGCAAGAAGTGTCAATGTGTGATGTCATTTTTCAAGCTTAGAAGGATGTGTTTTTCTTTCATGTTTTATTCTGTGAAGTTCTTCAGTTTCTACATTGTAGATGGTGGTAAAGGCAGTTACAGCCGCAGCTGTCAGCTGATTGTATGATTTTCTTTGAAGGGCTAAGTTAGGGCTATCTGTTCCTGATTGTATGATTTTCTCCGAAGAGCTAATTTAGGGCTACCTGTTTTTTTTGCTTTCTCTGCAAAAGTTTTTTTTTCTGTTAGATGATAGACAATTTAATTCTCTCCAGCCAGTCATCAGTTGATATAGAAGCTGGACCTAATTTAAATTTGCAGAACCTAACCTGCCTTGACCAAATCCTACCTAACGTAGCCCAAACTTACCTCACTCAGAGGTTATCAGGTTGGTA